TATTTTTGTTTTTGTGGTGCAATGGTCACAGCTGCTGTAAGTGCTGTTTTTTTAGTTTTATATATTTTGTCTTGCCTATATTGCATGTAGACTTTTATGTTGATGGTTATGTTCGAGAGGAGAAGGCTGTTACTCGGCAGTGTAATTGAAAGAGTAAAAATTGATGTTTGTTCTCTCCAAGTTAACCAAAACTGAGATGCCGAAGTCGGTACTTTATTCTGAAAGAAGTTCTATGAGGGTGGTTCTTGCAGTCAGAACGTGCACCATGGTTGCAAAGTTCCTGCAGTGGGAAGCGCTGTAATTCTGGTTCCACGTGTCTCTGTTTCTGCTGCGTTTTAAACTGAGTGTATGTGTTTTTGTGCAGGTGTGTGAGCAGGCCGGTGACGACCTGGTGCCCTGCGAAGGTCAGTGTTTAGGGATGTTTCACCTCCACTGTCTGGGTTCGTCCCTCAAACTCGACGACAAGCTGCAGTGCCAGGCGTGCAGCACAGGTGAGGACGCCGCGCCTCGTCCACGGAAACCGACCTCGAGAGAGTTTTCAACAGTAACATAAGTAGCGCGTTCCTCCCTTTTTGTCTTCTCAGGAGTTCACGCGTGCTTCAACTGCAAGCAGTCGGATGGTAAAGTCCGCCGCTGTCACGTCCCGCACTGCGGCAAGTTTTACCACGAGGCCTGCGTCCGCCTGAACCCCCTGACGGTGTTCGACAACAGGGGCTTCCGCTGCCCGCTCCACGCCTGCCTCAGCTGCCACTACGGCTGCCGCACCAAGCAAAGGTCGACCAAGGGTGAGTCAGCTTAAGCTTCTTCTGATTTAGTTATCATCAGTTTGTACATTCACACACGATGCTTTTTTAAGCTGAGCAGGTTGAAAGTTTGTGATTTTACAGCTGTAAAGGCAACAAATCGTCATTCTTATCAACCAGGAAGGCATAATGACATTTTGAGTTTCAGAAAAGTTAGATGAGATGATGATTAATGGACAGAAATATTTTACACGTGAAAAAACATCTGTATCAATAAAGGTGTGGAAAGTACAGTGAAAAACTACATGTAGGATTCAGAATTTATCTGCAGAAATGTTTCTGCAACAGGAATTGTCTTGTTTGGACCTGAAGACAAAAGCAAATTATAGTTTAATGTAAAAAATATCAGAAGTCTGACGTCTTTGTGACTAAAAGTAGTTTCAGCTATTAAATGATGGTTTCATTATTTTGGGTTGCTGAGTTTCTGTTCACCAGTAGAGCTGCAACAAATCCATCAATTCATTGTCAACTACTGAATTAATATCTATTTTCATGACTGAATAGGTGGTTTGAGTCGGGTTTTTTTTTAGAATAATTAAAGTCATAATTCTCTGATTCCTGCTTCTTCAATGTGAATGTTTTCTGGTTTCTTTATTCTTCTGTGACAGTAAATTTAAAATCTTTGACTTTTGGGCAACATATGTGATTTTATTTTATGTTGGGCTTTGGGAAGCACTGACATTTTTCAACGTTTTCTACGACTCGATAGACCAAAAAGCTTATCAGTTAATCAAGTAAATAATCAACAGTGAAGATCTGTATGTGCTGCAGAGCTGTTCATCAGTATATTAAGTGTAATCTGGTGTCCAATCCTCTCTCTCTCTGCGCTGTAGGGAGGTTGATGCGTTGCCTGCGCTGCCCGGTAGCGTATCACGTCGGCGACCAGTGCGTGGCCGCGGGGAGCGAGATGATCACCAACACCGCCATCATCTGCACCAACCACTTCAACGCCAAGAAGGGCTACAGCCACCACAGTCACGTCAACGTCAGCTGGTGCTTCGTCTGCTCTAAAGGTTCGTCACCTCTCCTGTTGTCGGCGGGGGAGGGCAGCTACTGGTGTTGATGGCTTTTGTTTTGAGGCACTTTTGTGCAGCTGAGATTAATGTCAGATGACGACAGTTGTGATTCTGTATAATTTTCAAGTGAATTCTGAGGCGAATTTTTTAAATATCTCAAAAATATTTAAAGAAAAATTGTGAATTAGACTTGTTTCCATTAACTGCTTTTGATAAGGTCGTGATAAACGCTACGTAACAACAGTAGACGAAGCTGGGGGGGAAAAAAACTGTTGTTGCAAAATATACTTGAAAGAAATAAACGAAACTTTGTCCATCTGTGAGACAAAATCAGGCAAGTTGTGTTTGTTCAACTGGTATTGGTCGTGTTTCATGCTGTCCAGAGACGAAGACCAAAGAAACAGCCGATCAGTCGTGTGAATTAAATGTTTTTAGCGTCAAAACTTATTTAGAAAAGGTGTTTTCATCTCCCTTGAAGCGCAATTAGTCTTTCAAGAAAGTGAAAAATCACCTCAAGCGAGCATAAAAAGGCATTTCTACAGAAAAGGCAGTTATTTAACTAAATGTCCTTTTTGCTTCAAACTTTTTCTAATGCGATGCTTCTGAATATTGAACTAGACCTCCTCTGATTTTAAAGAAGAACCACTGTGCTATACATTTTTCCCTCTTTTATTCAGCAGAGGTGTTAAGCTGCCCAGATTGTGCCTCACACTGGCTATCGATCGGTTTATTTCGCAGATAACTGCATCAACAGTAGCTGCACTTATTAACATCATGGCAATATGCAGAGTCGGCGTTTAAAACTCTGCAGGAGTCTCTGCTTTAATGCACAGCAACAGCAGCTCTGCAGAAAGAGAGTTATGTGACGTTAAAAGGTTGTAGATTTTCCTAGTGTTGCCCCGGAGCAACAGAGTGTAGCATGAAAACCATTGCCCTAATCTCTCTGAAGGGCAGTTAGAAAACCGTTTTGGCACGACCGACCGCTCTAAATCTTGACTGCGGAGCCGTTAATCTCGCATGCTGCTAGAAAATCAGAAGAACGGCTCCTGGGAGGCGATTTTCAGTCGAAGTCGCTGCCAGTTTTGTGTGCTCGAGATGATGCAGAAACACAGAAGGAGAGCTCGTCTTTTCTAGCCGTCTGGTTGCTTTTATGTTTGGGAGTTTTAGCCACCAAAGCGAAGCCCTGCAGAAATCCGCCAGCCTTGTTCCTTGTTGTCTCACAAAGGACGCAACAGCATGTGTTTGAGTCGATTAACAAACACCTATGCGGCAGCTTGTTTTCCTTTTCTTTTTGGCTTTTAGTCAGACTAAGCTTGTTTTTATCACCCCTGTGCAGAAGGATGCTCTATAAAAACGGAGCTGACTCATAAGTGAACATCGAAATTACTCCGCGTCCTCTCAGGTTTAATTCGGTTTATGTTTTCGTGCTGCAGGAGGCCAGCTGCTGTGCTGCGAGTCTTGCCCCGCGGCTTTCCACCCTGACTGCCTGAACATCGCCATGCCCGACGGGAGCTGGTTCTGCAACGACTGCCGAGCCGGGAAGAAGCCCAAGTACAGGGACATCATCTGGGTCAAACTGGGAACATACAGGTGAGAAGAACAGACGCTGCTGCTTCTTTTTGCTTTTAAACTGAACAAGTGACTTATTCTTGCTCCTGGCTTTTTATATTCTTCTTAGATGGTGGCCGGCAGAAATCCACCACCCAAGAAGCATTCCCACCAACATCCAGCACCTTAAGCACGAGATCGGAGAGTTCCCGGTGTTCTTCTTCGGCTCCAAGGATTACTTCTGGACCCACCAGGGCCGAGTGTTTCCCTACATGGAGGGCGACAGGGGCAGCAAGCATCAGAGGACCGGCATCGGCAAAGTCTTCAAGAACGGTGAGGGGTCTCCGCCGCCGCTTTGCAATATTTTATTCATGTCTTAGTCAAATGATTGCTAATGAAAAGAACAAAAAACAGAAATAATTGCAGGAATCACTTCTGTCTTCTCTGATTCCTTTTTTACATTGACTTAATTGTAGATCAAGAATATCTAGTAAAAAATGCAGCTTCCTGTTTTAACCTTGTACAAAAGTCCATGAAAAGCCGCAATAAATGATGTGTTTTGTGTAAATATCAGCTCACCTGCTGCTCAGTATAAACCAGAAGGACTTTTATTTTGAAGGATCGCCTTTAACTAAGCGTTGAAATGAATATTTCCCCAGATTAAACTAAATGTACTGTGTTTTTATGCTGTTTTTTGTCCTCTCTGCAGCTCTGTTGGAGGCTGAAGCTCGATTCAAGGAGATGAAGTTGAAGCGAGAGGCCAAGGAAGCTCAAGAGAACAGCCGAAAACCGCCCCCGTATAAATTTATCAAGGTCTGAAAAGCCACTCTTTGCTTTTTATGTTTCAGATACAAACCTGCTGCATGAGAGGAGTTTGCTGCACATCAATAAATAAATGGAGGAGAGATATATAGCTTTTTTTTCCCTACTGCTCCCTCCTCTCAGGTCAACAAACCCTTCGGCAAGGTTCAGGTCTACACCGCCGACATCTCCGAGATCCCCAAGTGCAACTGCAAGCCGACCGACGAGAGGCCGTGCGGGTTCGAGTCCGAGTGCCTGAACCGCATGCTGCAGTACGAGTGCCACCCTCAGGTGTGTCCCAGCGGGGAGCGCTGCTGCAACCAGGACTTCACCAAACGCCTCTACCCGGAGACCCAGATCATCAAGACGCCGGGCAAAGGCTGGGGTCTGATCTCCCTGAGGGACATCAAGAAGGTGAGCAGAGGGTCGTCCTGCCATGAAACGCCGTCTCAGGTGTGAGACGTCAAAAGAAAACGCACATATTACACTTGATAATGGTCAGTATGTCTAAAAAAACCACCCAAGGCATTGACATAATTTATTCTTCAAGCAAATAAGCGAACAAACAGACCAACATACATCAACTTGTAAGTCTTCATTAGGGTCTGCAAGGCTCATTTTAGATTAATTAATGTTGGTGTCAGCCTGTAAACAACTACAATACAGAAAAGCCAAAGACTTGTTTTATTACAGGTCACTCTTCTCTGTAGTTTGTCCACCAGAGTTCTGATTCTTCCAGTAACGGTTTCATTTTTTCAAAATCTTTTAAAATGTCAAGACATTCGTTTGCAGTCGCTTAATTTATTTTTAAATGTTACAAACTCTCCTCTAAAAAAACCCTGCACTGGTTGGCTTTACTTGGAGTGCATGCTGAAGTATTTCTGGTGCTTTTGTAGCAGTAAACCATCTACCGAGAGTAGTTTATATACAATGCTGATAAATATTACAGGCAGGATTCTCACTTTGAAATGAAATGCTGTGATATAAGGCTGTAAAACATAAACATTGGAATGCAGATGTTGATATTTTCCAATTCATTTGATCGGTTGATGATAGATGCACACTTTTCCCGCCCATCAGTAAAGACTATTAAATCTTTCCTGACGCAGAATTAACATATTATCATACCAGCTGTTATCCTAATGATTCACTGGCAGCAGCAGAACTAAAATACTACTTTTAAACGCATACATTCACTTAGAAAAATAAGAACAGGCTTCAGATTTATTTATTTTTATGTGAGATTTTCAAACAAAGCTGTAAACCTTCAGCTGACATCGTTATCGGCCATCTGTTATGACCCGCTGATATAAGAATCTGCTTTCTTGGCCAGACATGTGAACACACACAAGAAGTTTGATCCGTTTTAAACAAGCAGCAGGAGGTTATAGAAGAAAATGATTGTTTATCTGCAATATACAGCTGTAGATATGTGCAAGAGAGCGTGTTTAAAGTGCCCATGTTTGTGGGAAAAGGCTGGTGTCCGCTCTGATCACAGCGTTTCTCAAACAGGGGGAGTTTGTGAACGAGTACATCGGGGAGCTGATCGACGAGGAGGAGTGCCGGGCGAGGATCAAGTACGCCCACGAGAACAACATCACCGACTTCTACATGCTCACCATCGACAAGGTCGGCGCCGGTCCTATGCTGTGTTGTGTCTGCTGTGCTTTGTGTTCCCGTGTGGGTTCTGTTGAGTGTCTCCGGGCAGCTCCGCAGTGTGTCGGGTTCTGTTTGCCCAGCAGCAGCAGCAGCCGTTTCCACTGGGAGCTACATGAACAGTATTGCATTGGGAATGTTGCGTGACAGACAACTGCAGCATTACAGTAGCCAATACGACATTTACAACCACAGATATTAAACAGATCTGCTGGTAATACGATACAAACCGCAGGAAGGAGGTGTTTGTTGTTGGTTTTTATTGCAAGAAATATAACAAAAGGTTCAGGTGGAGGAAACTAGAATTTCTTTCTGTTGTGTTTTTTAAGGACCGAATCATCGACGCCGGTCCGAAAGGAAACTACTCTCGCTTCATGAACCACAGCTGTCAGCCCAACTGTGAGACTCAGAAGTGGACGGTGAACGGCGACACTCGGGTCGGTCTGTTCGCCGTCTGTGACATCCCGTCAGGTGAGAGAAGGTTTTATTTTAGTCGTTTATGGGTTATTCCACCTCTAGTCATCATGGGGCCTTCTGCTCAGCCAATTCTCACTCGCTTGAAGCTGTGTTTTTTTTTTTTTACCATAATCTTTTAATATTTAAACTTGTATCTGTAAATTTTAGATTGATTTATCACGTACTTTTCAAGATAATTAATTTTAAAATGTAGCAAATTTGTAGAGAATTTCTGTTTGTCTGTTTAGATATTTATGAAGATATGTTTTTTGGAATTTTTGTCTTAATTTATCAAATACTTCATAATATAACATTTTCTTTAAAATTAACCATCGACCCACTTTCAACATTTTTTCTTCTGTATTGAAATTTGTGGCTGTTAAAGATTAAAGCCTGAAATTTTCAGGTATTTCTCGACATGTTGATGATTCAGAATCTGCAGTATTGGACAAGTATCTGTAGAAGTCTGTGATTATAGGTTTAAAAAAAAGCTGCCATAAAAAGTCCCGTCAAACTCACAATAGCAAAAAAAAAAGATAAAGCAGGAGTCCACTAGTAGCATTTACTGAACCACATTCAGCTGCATGTCACAATAATAAAAATAAAAGAAAAATAAAATACTATTTATTTTGAAATACTTCATCACAAAATAAAATAGGTCAAATTGTTATTGTTTAGCTTCCATAACCGATGAAGCAGGTTTGACAAGTTGTTCCACAAAAACACAAATATTGGTAGATGGTCTGAGCCAAGTCACGTCCTCGAGTTTCAAAATAATTCTCCCAATATCATTTAAAAAGTATATATTGGTGTATTTTAATTTTTTTTAACCTTTTATCTTTAATACTTCTTGAGACCTTAAAGTTCAAAAACTGTGCTGAAAGTGGGCAATTTAAAAAATAAAACAAAAAACATATCCTGGAAAGCATTTGATGTATCCTTCTAAAATTTGACAAATATCTTTTAAATTTTACAGCACAGAATGTGGATGTTTTAAAACACAAATCAGAGCTGGTCGAGTAGAAGTTACTCTAAAAATGTGATGATTTGGGATGGAACGCGCCTCATGGAGTTATTCTACCAAGTTGGACGATTTATTTATTTATTTTTAAATATTATATCTTTTATTTATTTTCCTGTTTTTGATGTTTCGGGTCTCAGGGACCGAGTTAACCTTCAACTACAACCTGGACTGCCTCGGCAACGAGAAGACTGTCTGCCGCTGCGGAGCTCCGAACTGCAGCGGTTTTCTGGGAGATCGACCGAAGGTGAGCTTCACAACCACAGCTGCAACTTCTTCATGTGATTTAGATTATTAACGCAATTCACAGCAAGTATCAGCTCAGAAACCTGAGTTTAACTGACTAACAGCTGCTGTTGAAGTTTGAGTGGTCACGGTGGTAGAACGAGCTCGCTGGAAAAACTACATCGGTTAAGTTTTAAGGTTTTCCACCTCCTCCGCAGAACTCCAACGGCCATGCAGCCGATCCAAAAGGAAAGAGGTTGAAGAGGAAATACAAGAAGAGGAAAACTGAGGGGAAGAAGAAGTCCGAGGACGAGTGTTTCCGCTGCAGAGACGGAGGGCAGCTGGTGCTCTGTGATAAGAAAACCTGCACCAAAGCTTATCACCTGTCCTGCCTGAACCTCACCAAGAGACCCTTCGGTGAGAAAACACCTGAGACGCTGCAGCTTTAGCTTTTTACTGCAGGATCACACCAGAGTTTGTTCAGATTATCAGCAAGGAACAGGACTGATAGCTCAAAGGTCGAACATGAAAAAAACTGCAGACTTTCATAATATTTAATCTCCACACACTAGATCTTCTACAGAGGACTTTCTGCAGGATTAGAGAACCGTTTGACTCCAAAACTGCCCGTAAATTGGTTGACTTGTGTACGTTTTACACATTTCAGCTTCATTTGAGATTATTTTTAAACACATACCGTAGTTTTTCCACTTGATTTGTTCTGGTTTCTGGGTTTATGTCGCTCTGGACTTGACTGCAGACTAGTTGAATTCTAATTGAGCTGAATAGATTAGCGGTAAATAAGTCAGTCGTTTGTGGTCTTCCAGTAAAAATCCCAAACATTTGCTGGTTCCAGATGCTCATATGTGAGGATTTATAATGTGGCTGTGGATTATTTCCTCAACTAATCGTTTGGCTGCTTGGTTTTAAAAACGTCAGAAAACGATGGAAAATGCCATTCAAAGCCCAAAACGACGTCCTCAAACGTCTTGTTTTGTCCAAAACTCAATTATGTTCAGTTTACTGTCATAGAGGAGAAAAGAAGCTGAGAAAATGCTCAAATTTTCAGTTTCAACTTGGGTTTTTTTTCCTTCAAAAATGGCTCAAACTGATTAATCAGTTCACAGAATGGTAACTAGTCGTTTATTCTATTTATAGTTGCAGTTCTGAATGACTGTAAGTAGTCAATGTGTGGATTGTTTTTACGGTTCAGCAATGCTTTTGAGTTTTCACTGTCTAAAAAAAGTAATAATGTTCAGTCTTTCACCAGAAAAGCAACAAAAAATCCCAAAACAATCAGTTTTTATTCACCTTCTGCTTCATCAGTTGTGCTCAGATTTATCTCTCCATCTTTTCCAGACACTGCTTTAAGTTTTTGTGTTGTTAAAAACGTAATCCTGATTTGTGTCTGGTGGATGTATTCCAGCCAGAGACTGGAGGGACTAATGTGTGCTTCCTGCTCACCCTGCTCTTGTGCCCCCTGCAGGCCGCTGGGACTGCCCCTGGCACCACTGTGACGTCTGCGGGAAGAACTCGGAGGCCTTCTGCCAGCTCTGCCCCAACTCCTTCTGCAAGGCCCACCAGGAGGGGGCGCTGCGTCCGTGGCCCGCCACCGGCCAGCTGTGCTGCATGGAGCACGACGAGCTGGAGGGAGCCGACGGCCCGGCGCAAGACGCCGCCGGCTCGGAGACCAACGCTGCCGCCGCCGTCGCTAACACCGGCCTCCCCGCTAAAGGCTCCAGGAAGGCGGACGGAGCCGAGGCCAAAACGAAGGGCTCCAAGAGGAAAGCAGCCGAGGCCTGAAGTGACCTTTCAGGGCGCCAACAGACCAAACCAAGACTCTCACATCCTTCTTCTTTTTTTTTTTTTTTTTTTTTACCCTCCCCTCCCTCCGTCGTGTTTCAGAATCACAGGAACCAAGGCACTGTACATCTTCGTCATCAGGGAACGCCGCTGATCTCTCACGTGCTCGGCCTTCAGCTAGCCGCTCGTTCTTTGTTATTATTATTATTATCATCGTTTTCAGGTTTTTATTTGTTGTTTTTCTGTTTGTCTGCACTGAGTCGAACCATCTGTGGTAAAGCACAAACGAGCAGGTCAGGACACCTACTTCAGCTACTGGATTCACTCTTCCACCAACCAAACTGCCTTGTTTTTGTTTGTTGTTGTTGTTGTTTGTGTCGTTTTATTAGAAAAACAAAAGAAACCCGACAAAATCCAGCCTGAAGTTAGACTGGCCGTCTGCTAACTTGAATCTCAGTCGCCCTCCCCTCCTTCACTCAACACGGATTACCTTGAACAGCAGAGTTTTATCGCTATATCTATATATGTGTATATCAAAGACCAAAATTATTATGACTGGAGTTGGTGTACGGCGTCAAACAGGTTGCCAAATGGATGGTTTTTATTTTTATATATATAGTATATATATGCCAGATTTCCTATCAAACGAGACACTATGGGTAGGCTTCAGTAGCCGTAGATCGTTTAACTGTAGATGCTATTTTACAACCTGTTATCTTGTTTTAGCTCAGCTTTTTTTTTTTTTCGTTTATTTTTTTCTCTCAAAGATGCTGCAAGTCACGTCCAGAGAACGAGGGGTTAAACCGCCGCTAAGAAACAAACACTACCGGGAGGTTTTCGACGCTCTCCGTTTGATGATTTAACAAAAAAAAATTTAAAAAATGAAGGAATGAGAGCGAGACTTGTGTTTCACAGCCGAGTCCTTTTGGTGCTTTTTTTTGTTTTTTTTAGTATTTGAAAATCTGAGGTACAAAGTTTGTTTTTTTTAGGTATAAATACTCCCGTGATGCTGTCTGGAACCTGAACGCTGGACTTTTTATCGACCCTCGGTGTTATTTTTTTAATCCTCAGGAGGCTTCAAAGTCCGATTATCGTCGGACGCTTTAACGCTGGCCGACACCTCGTAACTCAGTTTATCGTCTGTCGAGGGGATTGCGCGGCGCGGTGGGGATGTTAGGACTCACATCTCAGCTGTGAAACCCTGTTTTCTGTCCACACCGGCTCCCTACAACACGCTCATGCTTCAAAACTGACATTCAGGTCTTTATTATCACTGCAGAAAGCTCCACTACTCGCTAAAAGCCTCATTAAACCTAAACGGATGTAAGAGCTGAAAATGGTGACGTTAAGTGAAAGTCTTTGGCGTTAGGACCACTGAGAACATAATTAACAGCAGCCTGGATGTTTTTAGCCATCAGGGGAACAACTCAGGCTTTCAGAAATCCACATCGTTTTCACCTCAACCTCATTTCTATCATTTTTAAGTCAAAATCTTAAGTGAGTGCCGGTGCTGCTCGACTCCTAGCTGAATTTAAAGCGTCCAAAATAACGATTTTATTTCCCACGACGCCTTAAATCTGCTCATTATGTCGGCAAATCAGGATTTCTACGCCTTCTCTGATTAGTTTCTGTTGAATTTTTGAGCTCTAAACGAGTGAAAATCGTCTTATTTTACCAGAAAAGGCAAGAAAAATCCACTTTTATCCACCTCAACCACACTCGGTCATCATCATGCTGATTTAAAAAGTGCTTCGAGACGTTCTGAAGATTCAATCAGCTGTTCTGGGAGGTTTTCGTTGGTGCTCGTGTTTGACCTTTAATCTCCAAAAACATCCCCAGAAAAGGAAAAAAAACCCCACATTAGACTTGTACAGACGCAACAGGAGGCTGTTTTTGTTTTGTTTTTTAACGTACCTGCACTTTTTTTTTGTTCTTTTTTTTGTCCCACCTGTGAAAGTGCAGCGAGTGTCGTACGAGTGTCCTCCTCCTCCTCCTCCTCCTCCTCCTGCGTACCGACCGTCATCCTAACCCTGATTCTTGTGTTGAGTGAATGTAGTCCAGCCAGTCGTCGTTTTCTTTTCCTAAGCACTGTAATTCCCTGTAGAGCTGAGGCGTAACGTGGCGTTAGAGGGTTTCACTCTGTAACTACTGTCATAGCGAACCAGAGACTAATATGTACATAATGTATAAGTGGTCATAGTGATGCATCTATTGTAAATATCATACAATCTCTCCACGTTGTATGTTTTTTTTTGTTGTTTTTTTTTCCTCCCCTGATGCAGTGCTGAAACACTTTTGTGCAGGATCTCACGTCAGTTGAATCGTGCAATAAAAAAAAGTGGTCAAACGTTCATCCGCTGTATGTCTGTTTTGTCTCCAACGTGGCTTCAAGTTGGTCTGAAGCCCTGAAATTTGGGTTCAGATGTTATTTTGGTGACAAATCATTCACTTGTGTTGAAGTAAAGCTGAAATAACGCAGGACTCGTGATGATTGTGGGCTTTATTTCTTCATAGATATGGTTTAAAATTAAATCCAGCTGCACTGATTGAAGGTTTTTTGTTAAACGTGTGCAACCTGAAGTCATCTTTATTAATTCATCATGAGTCATGCATCAGTTAAACGTTATTTATAGAGTAACTATAAAGGGTTACCAGCATTATTTTCGCTCGTCGCTGCAAGGCTTTATCTTCTCATTTTGTTTTCAGTTCTATTTGTTAGTTATCCCGACGACCAGAGGTGAAAAATGCTTTCTTAAATTCAGAAATATTCAGTCTTTTCTGAGTCCTGTACAGCATGATTCAAATCCTAACTGCTGGTTGGAGCTAAAACTAAAGATTCATCTTTTATTCGCTCAATTATTCACTATATGGAGTTGGATGGAGTAACAATTGGCCAAGTTCATTGCTTCTTTTTTTTTTTTTTTAAAAAGAAGTTTTAGAAATTGATTTCTCTCAGTTTGATATAATATTTAATTTAACGATTTGCCTCCTTGAGAATTACACTTTAGAGTAAATTAGATGTAAAACACAATTTAAAGTGTCTTTTACTCACTAAACTGCAGGTTAAACTGTTTTTTTTGGCTGCTCCAGTTTTCTTATTTGCTTCTGTAAACGCAGAAGTAACTCATATACAGTAAAAAGAAATAAGCTTCTTTTTCTGTGAACTTCAGCTGGTTAAAACCTGGAACAGCTGCTAAAGTTGTTTAAAAAAAACCAAACATATATTTTCTGGGCTTTTGCCTTTATTTAGAGCAGTGGAGAGAGACAGGAAAGTGGAGAGAGACCTGCAGCAAAGGGTCATGAGCGGGAGTCGAACCCACGACTGCTGCATCAGGGATCTATAGCCTCTGATTATGGGTCACCCGCTCAGCCAGGTGAGCTACATGTTGACAAGGCTCAGCAGATAATTTACATTCAGACTTTAGTTTCTGTGTTTTGGCTGCAGCAGGTCCTGGATCAGTCTTTGATTGTTCTGCAGTTTGTACGACTTGTTTCTTCAATGTAGGCTTCATCCCTGTTCAGCTCAAGCCTCAGAAAGATGAATCAGCTTCTTTATCAGCAAATGTAAAAGTGTGACTTTAGCAGACGTTCCAGGTTTTAACCACACAGAATCAAACATTATTGTACTACATATGAGTTACTTCTACTTTGCAGATGGAAAAACAAAAAACCTATTCAGCCTGCAATTTTGTAAAAACAAGTACACAAAGAAAAACTGTGCCAAACCAAACCCAAGTCATTAAATCAAAAGGTATAACGAAATGACAAAAATCGATCTTAAAAAAACAAAACAGAAACAATGTAGATCTTTAGTTTTGGCTCCAGTTTTCTCCAACCAGCAGTTAAAATGATCATCATGCTGTAGAGGACTCTGAAAAAAATGAATATTTACGCTTTAAAAAGTCATTTTAAACACGTAGAAATACATTTTTCAGCTCCAGTCGTCAGGATAACTAACAAATATAACAAAAAGAGAAGATAAAGTTTTAAAGCAACATGCCAAAAATATTCATGGTAACTTTTTATAGTTACTGTATAAATCTCACCATGAATCAGGGCTTGAATTAATAAAAGGTGCATTTCAGGCAAAGTTTTAACTTAGAGCTCGATTTCAAATCTAAAATCCGTATCGATCCGGAGGTAAGGTACACAGGGTTGTCATGGAAACGGACACCTGCTTCAGCATCAAGGTGGGTCTGTTTGTAATTAAAGTTTGCTGAAAATTATCACTTAAATGATTCATAGTTGTGTCGTTGCATCACTTGAACTGTGAAGCATTTGCTCTTGTGTAAAATGAAAAACCNTTAAACATTTAACAGTTTTGGTTTGTTTGTTTTGATTTCTTTGAAACTGAAAGCATATGACTAAAGTAAAGCTGTTATATTCCTCCTGTTTTCGTATTGTTTTTCTGCTTTAGATGCTTGTTTTTACTAGAACATTCCTCTTCTGCAGGCTGTCACGTCTCATTTTATCTCCGCTGTGCTTCACTGTCAGGACGAAGCTACCAATGCGGTCGTCTCTTGGTCTCATCTGACCACAAAATGAGCTCCCAGGACTAATCAGGCTTCAGTTTGTGGGCTTAAGTCAAGTTTAATCTTGCAGTTTTGTGCCAAAGAGTCCGTAGAGGTCGATGTTATGAAATGTCCTGAGCTGTCACAGAAACTCTGATTGTACCAAGACTAGAAAAGCTGCTGTGAAGTCTCAGACTTTTCAGTTCCTCTTGTCCAGGTGGAGCCCTGATGCAGACAGACACCAGCTCGTTGAACATCCATTCAGGCTGATTGGAAACCACAGATGGACCCGTTTTCGCTTCAGTGGTCTCAGGTGTGCTCGCTTCTGTTGTGTGAAGTTTCAACATTAGTTCCTGAGAAACACCCAACATGAGAACTGTGACATGAGTCATTATTGAGATGAAACAGTTTGAACATACTCAACATTTAAGAGTTTGGTTTTTCACACTCACTCCTGTCGTATACTTCATCTGCAGTCGCTGTTTAGAAAATGTTAAAGTAACCTCCAGCCCTAAAATCACCAAAAAATAACATCACCATAAGACTAACACAACTCCGTTTGAGTGACCTCCTCTGTGTTACGATGGTGGAGGCAGAAACCTACAAACCTGGACACTAAATCTGTCGTCATGGCTTCACCGATACACCTGCAGGTAAGAAACTTTTTTTATATTTGAGTGTGTAAATTTGACTTTAAACCTCTTAGGACCTGGCATCCACACATGCATGGGCATCCCATTTTGGGTTGTATTACCACAGTAGATAATTTTTGTTATTATTTTATGAGTGGTATTTATTTTTAAAGATGTTTTGATTTTCCTGATGTTTTTTTTTTCCTCTTTGATATTTGATCAAAGTCTCACTAAAATCTAAAATACAAATGCAGCTTTTTATTTAAAGCTTAACTTATTTGATAAGTTTAAATAGCAAAGAGGAATAAAAGACGCAAATCAAACAAGAGCTCGCGTCTGAAGAGGTTAAAGTTTGATTGAAAACCTTAAATAGTTTGTGTGACTGAATACTTCAGGGTTTTTCCTCTGGACATGTTGCACAACCTGCAAACGTTTAATTAACGCCTTCAAGTTTGAAACTCATTTAAGACAGACTCAAGACCAGACAAGAGTTTCTGACTCATCATTTATGTAACTTATCATCTCCGTACATTTGTATTATGATGTGAGGTTGAAATGTGTAACTTGCATTTAAACTTTAACCCAAATCTGTCAAAGTGACGTCTTTATTACAGGATTTGATTAAAAATGTCCCACTAGTAGAAACATTTCACTTATTTTCTCATTTTATGGCCGAAAAGTTAGAGATCAGGATTGAAAACTACAATGTTTGATCAGTTATTGATTTTACATAATTTTTTTTACCCAATATTTGACCAAATGTATTCAGCACCTGCACAAATAGATACCAAAAATATCAGAGAATTGTAGCGTCTTTTAATAAAAGTGCAGAGAAAGCAATGAGAGAAATTAAACTTTTTCCAACTAAACTGCAGCTGATTATGTTTTTCTATATGAACCAGAGTTCTTACAAGTAAAGAGGAATCTAAAAATGGCTCCTTTTGTCCGAACCAGACATTTCTGCTTGAAATGTAGCTTACATTATTAATTGATTACAAGAACAACTGCTGATTAATGAAATCGTAATTTTTGCTAACAAAACAAAAACAAAACTGTATTTTAATCCAATCTAAAAACTCTTCTACCAACATGCAGCTCCAGTTTAAATCACACCACCGTTGTGAAAGACATCTTGAAGGAATAATCAGACTCAGATTCCAGTTGTAAGTCTTCCAGAGTTTTTGTTTTTAATTTCCTCTTTAAGACAACGACCCAAAAAAAAAAAAGAAAAAAAAAAAAAGATTCATTTTGCATAACAGTAGTACAGCAGCGGCCGAGGGTACAAAAAACGCTTTTTTTAATTTTTCAGTGTAAAAATAACTCTACTCAGACTCCTGTGCCGTCCTCTCGTAGTGCAAACGCTTCAAATAAAAGTTAGGCACATGATGGATACGATCGCAGTTCAATTACACTTAAGTGCTGATGACGAGTAAAACATCAATTTCTCAGTTCATTCCATTCGACAATCGCAGACTGATGGGTTTAAATAGCCGTAGAAAGGGCAGTTTGTTTGATGTTTGTAGCTGTTAACATCCAAAGAAGCTTCATTAAAAAAAAACAAAAAACAACAACAACAACAAAAGGTAAACCTATACAGTCCTACTGGCTGACAGGATGAGGATTATCTGTTTTCAACTAAGTGCAACTGACTCATGGCCGAGTTTAATACTATGTAAAAAACAAAACAAAGACATCGCAAGCTTATGGTCCCAAGCAACAATCGCAACGTCTCCCTAGTTGATGCTTGTAAATATCTGAGCGAGATTTAAGTGGCAACTTGACATCTTTCTACTCCGAGGGAAGAAAAAAATAAAAAATAAAAACTAGCTTAAAGTAAAATATTTCCCAGTTTTACATATGTTACAAATAAAAAATAAATATCTGCTCTGTTTTTTGTTTTTCTTCCTAATCTAGCCTTTTTTTTTTTTTTCCTTTTTATTACGATTCATCGAGAAAAATAAAGGTACAAAGAGTGACCGACGTTCATTTCTGACTAACACAGTGCAGCTTATTTTTCCATCGGGAGGCCAGGACTCCTCGCCGGATGACGTTGAATCCATACCACCGGTAGCAGGAGGCCAGGACTCCTCGCCGGTTGACGTAGGACCCATAGTGCCACCCTTAGGAGGCCAGGACTCCTCGGCGGACAACGCCAATCCCGTAGTGCCGCCACCAGGAGGCCAGGACTCCTCGGCAGATGAGTAGTGCCGTCACCAGGAAGCCAGGACTCCTTGCCGGACAATGCCAAACTTGAGCGCTGCCACCAGGAGGCCCGGACTCCTTGCCAGACGACATCCAACCCGTAGCGCCGCCACCAGGAGGCCAGGACTCCTCAACAGATGCGTAGTGTCGTCACCAGGACTCCTTGCCGGATGACATCCTGTAGTGCCGTCACCAGGAGGCCAGGACTCCTTGCCAGACGATGCCACACTTGAGCGCTGTCACGAGGAGGCCTGGACTCCTTGCCGGACGACGCCAAACCCGTAGTGCCGCCACCAGGAGGCCAGGACTCCCTGCTGTATCCCTGGTGCTTCCATCAGGATGCCAGAACTCCTCGCCGGATTATGTCAGACCCGTAGCGCCGCCCGAGAGACGAGTCGCCCCTCAGCTGGTGGGAGTGGCATCGCTTTAGGCAGGGCTCCAGCTCGCCGTCACCCGATTTGGACTCGAATTCGTCACTTTCCGTCCCCGTTCGGAGTCGAGTTCTGGGGTAAGTCGACTCTGGTGGGTTGGTCAGTGGCCTGAGAAGAGGTTTACGTTGCTCCGCCTCTTCGTCCTCCTCGTCTTCTTCCTCCCTCATAGTCGACGGCTTGTCGCTCCTCTTGGGGATCCTGAACTTCCCCCAGCTCTTCAGGTGTCCGTTGGGCGAGTGCGAGCCATTCGTTTGGGCTTTCCTCAGCCAGCCGTTGGTTTTTGTGGTTGGGTCTTTGTTGAGCTTAATGTTGTTGGTCGTCACGTCCAGAGAAACATGGCTTCTTCCATCGTCCATGAAGTAGTCGTCCGAGTCTGAGTTTCTAATGTCCACCAGCCGGATGGACACCGTCTTCTCCAGATGTTTGGACCCGAACCTGCCCTTCGCCTGACCGGAGAAGCTTTCGTCGCTCCTTCTCTCTCGTTTCCGTCTCGACAGCACTTCCTGTTCGGCCTCCCTTCTCAGGCCTTTCCTGCTCTCGGATTTATGCAGCTTTGTTTCCTGAATGATCTCTGGCTTCTCCTGGTCGATGTCAGAGTTTTGGGTTTTGGCATCGCCCACCGCCTCGTTGGGCACGACGTCGGCGATTCGGGAGCTTCTGCCGTCCTTCTCGCTTGGATTGTCCTTCCTGTAAGTGTGCGATGAGTCGGATTGGCTTCTCCTGTCGGATTGGCTTCTCCTTCTTTCCTGCTTCGAGGAGCCTCGTTTGGTCTTGAGTCCAGAGTGGCTCCAGGAGGAGGAGCCGGACTGGGAGCCCTGAGAGGATAACCAGCCCAGAGAGAAGAGCTTCTCCAGGTCCTTGGATGAAGGGTCGCCTGAAGCAAACACAGGGAGGAGTTTGAGGATAACTAGTGAGCTAATGCTGCATCATTTTGTTATTTTCTTTAGAAATAGAAACCAACAAACTCCAGAACCAGCTGCTTCAATAAGATGTCATGCATCAATAAAATAACTGACTGAACTCACCGCTGAGCAGCTCGTGGTCGAGCAGCCGGACTTGGTGCTGGAAGATCTGCTCCTGGACTCTCCACAGCGAGCGCTTCATCTTCTCCCTCCTGGTCACCATGTAGGTCAAGTTACGGACCTGAAGAGCAACAACAGCAGCTTGTTTAGACAAACTGAGCTTAGAATAAAATCATCCGATACGCGAACCGAAGCTTTGCAGCAAATCCAGAGTCACAAATGTGCTTTTGTTCTGTTTTACATGAAGGTTAAGTGAAAATCTTTGGACTGCAGAGACACAAAACAATCGATTTAAACACATCGCCTCGAGGCCGGGATGCTGTCTGACATTTTAAAGACTAAACTGATGAACTGAGCGTCTCATTTTTGCCTTCATGTCCACAACCTGATTCCAGAAGCTTAAATATACAAGAAAAACTGTTGCAGCTTTACATCTTGTCCATGTTTTTGAACGTCAAACAAACTACCTGCACAGACACAACTTAAGACAAATGATAGAATACAAACAGGAAAAAAGGCAGCAGCAGCAAAAAGCATCTTAATCCTGCAGTGAGTTTTGTCTCTCGGTGAGGAAAGAGTTAACACGGATTGAAATGCTGACCTATTTTAGTCCACAGCCGACATGTTACCCAACACGTACAGTTGAACAGGTTCATTTAACACCTGCACATACAGCGTGCACTAATCTGTAACTGGGATTCTACTATTTAACACCTCGTAAATGTCGTAACTGGGATGCTCATGTCATGTAAACGCACTTATTCACACCCTGGTTTGGATTATATAATCATTTTCTGTTCTATTCTTCTCTATCACACATGTAAGAAATGTGTCTTTGCATGTTGTGTTTATTACTCATACGTGCACCTGCATGTATATTATGTACAGAACATATATTACACCTACATTATTCTCCCTCAGTGTGCTTTAGAAAGTCACAATAGTTATTTATTAAGACTTCTATGATGATAAATAATCTGACATCAAGTCCCTCAAACTGCTTTTTGGAGGCATTTTGGGGTTTTTCTACCACGGCGGCACAATCTGAGGATAAAATCTGTGTTGTCATTTTATATTTCACGCTCAGAAAGCTGCACCAAACTGCACAAACTGTCAGAATGAACATTTTATGAGGAGCACTTACACAGATTTTAACAGTGCTTATACTATTACTAAAACCACTGATTGAATTTGTTTGTTTTTGTTATTTTTAAGAGGTTCTCTGTTAAAAGTGAAAAATCAACCAGAGGGGAAAAAAATCTAGTTTAAAATCTTCAAAATTTTAATTTAGGGACTGTTTCTTTGACAGTATGTTCATGGTTTAAATTAACTTGTTCTGCTGTTAACACCAACATCTAATTAGAGAAAAGGTGAAAATAAAGCAAGACAGAGTTTTCTTGCAGCCTTTAAATTACTAAATCTCTGCAAATTTCTGAACTGATCAAGTGATGCTGATTATTTCACAAACGCACATTATAGAAGAATTAGAAATAGATCAGATGTGCACGTTCATGTAGTAAACAGTAAATCTACTTTAATTCCTCCGGTGCCCAAAGCAGAATCTTATTGTTGTTGTAGGTTTCTAGGTTATTTATTTTATTATTGGTCTATCTTTAATGTGATTTATTCTGTACACTGCTGGACCTCCGTAACGAGTTTCGTTCCTTCGTGTTTTCACCATGTTTGAGCGACAATAAACTAAAATTAATGATACTGAATTAAACAGAATCAAACAGTTCAGATGATGCTTTGACCATTTGAGAGACTGACAGAATTGCTGAGGAACAAAATTAAATAGATCATCTGGTCTTTAATAATTTGGCCCAGACGGTTCAGATGCTTTGACCATCTCAGAGAAAGAGAGCTCTCTTCTGGATTGGTAATTAGAAACAGGGTCAAAATGTGCACCTTTATGCAGCAGTAATAAACAAGAAATCTGTTTTTGTTAGTTTTTCTGACACCTGGAGTAGAACTGATGACGTCTGAGCTTTCTGATCCTCTGGTCTTTAATAACTGGGCCCGCCTGACACCAGGTTTCAGTGCTCATATTGAGGAACATGAGCAACGTTCTGGTTCTTGTAGTTTACACGGCTCTTCCTTTGTGTTATTTTACTGTAATGTCTCTTGTGCAGCGGTAATGTGTGAATTTTAAATCTTATCTACAAGCAGTCACACGTTTGTGTTGCACTCTGCGTTTATTAAACTTCATTTAAGACCATTGTCCCTTCCTGCCTCGGCTGCTCTCTCTTTGCTGCTGAATCAGACACCTACCCTCTCCAGGTCCTGCCGGAGGTGCGTGAAAAGCTGCAGGCGTCGCAGCAGCACCTCTTGCTCGCGGCGGGCCAGGCTCTCCTCCTCGTCCTTCTTGGGCGTGAGGAGCGGCTGGTTGTGGTTGGCTTTGCGTTTCAGCTTCCAGTACTGGTAGAGGAAGTCCACCACCTCCGGCGGCAGCTTCAGGTTGCCGGCCACCTCGTCCACCTCCACAAACTGGTAGAAGTCCTCCTCCATCTCCTGCAGCTTCAGCTTGCGGTGGTTGACTCTGCTGTCCTGCTGGCGGCTGCTGAGCTCCTCCGGGTCGCCGGGCGTCCGGTCCATCAGCTGAGGAGCGACGTGAGGCGGCAGCGGCGAGGAGGAGGCGGTGGTGGCGGCATCTTCCACCCCTCTCACCCGGCCTCTCCTCCGGCCCTTCTTGTCTCTGGCCGCCTCCTTCTCCTCCTCGCCGTCCGAGTCTCGGTCCCTGGACTCGGCGCCCTCGAGCCCCGAGTGCTTGGGGCAGTACGACTTGAACTTGACCTCGTCGTCCTCCGTAAGGATGGTGTTCATCTCGAGGCTGGCGTGGAGGCCGCACGTCACGTGGAAGGCAGTCCGGCAGTTTTTCGCTGAGCACTGCAGGCGCAAAAACAATGTGGGAACTTTTATTTTCAACATGAAAACACGACAGCAGATTGTTTTCCCCATTCCTGTATAAACATAATTACGTTTTCAGTTTGCAAAAGTGTACGAAACCCGCAACTAATCCAGAAGTCAGACTCATTTACAGGTGCAACTGGTGACATTCTGCTGCAACTAAAACAACCAATCTTGATCAGTCAATTTTGGGTAAAAATCAACCAAAGAACATGTCCAGCATCTCTTTTTTTAGGCTATTTGGAAGCTGCAGAAACAAACTGCAAACACAACACTGACATTTGGTACCATTAATGAAGCAACACATTCAATCATTCAGAGCGTTTCTGTCCACCTGATGAATGCGACGGCAGTTTCTTTTAGACGTTTTTTGGAAGTATGTGGCTCTTTAGCTGCTGAGTCGACAGTATAAAGTGGCTTTTTTAACTTTTCTCTCTGATAGCAGCCACATGCTGCTGCCGAAAAACAACAGCGAGAACGATAAAAGTCAACCAAAACAGCTAAATGATGACCTGAAAACTCTGTGGGTTCATCACTATCAGACACTTACTTAGGCACTTTACTAATATTTACACATGTACGTTAGAAAGATTTATCGCAGAAACGTTCATCTGACTCCAACAGATCAAGAGGGCATGTCTGCCAAAGCGCTTTTTCCTGCAGGCTGGTGTAGTTTTTCTGCCGCCTGAGGGTGTTTTTGTTGCTGCATGTTTGTGCCGACAGCTGAAAAATGTTCAGCTTCAGGTGAAAACGCTGCACTCACCACGTCAATTACTACCCAGTGATCCAATCACAGCAGAGGAAGGGCGACTACAATCACATTGATCGAGTCGACTAGTTGATGGAGATATTCTCTATCGTAGCAAATGAAGCGTCTCAGTTTAGTTTTCAGAAAAGCATTTGGTCTTTTTTAGCCAGAAAAAAAACCAATTGGTGGACACACATCCTGAAACTACATTTAAAGGCTTCACATTGCAACCAAAATTGTCGTAACGGATTCACATTCATACGAGTGTGTGATGATCACCATTATTTATTTACTTATTGGAATCATTTTGGTGTCTGCATTTCGTAATATACCGCGGCTACATACACACTATTTTCATTCATACTTAAACGTTGATGTTAGCTGCTTGCATGTTGTCCCTCACACTGATTAAACATAATGTTTGATGCAAACACACGGCGCCTCTTCAGCGCTGTGTCTTCCCTCCTTCACCCCGCAGAGCCGTGAAATCGATACGATCTCAATTTTCAAGTTTGCTCAGCTGTGAAAAGCGAAGTGCTGCTCCTGCTGTGAACATTAAACGTTCGCCTCCATCCGAGCGGCTCGAAGACGCCGCGTCACGCTTTGCTTTTCGCGTATCATTGACTGACGGCGTGCGATGAGGTGAGCGCTGGTTTCTACCTGTATGCAGGCGCCGGTCTTCTCTTTGCACAGGCAGCAGATCAGAGCCCATCTGTTGCTGGGGATGTGGGACACGTTGGTGATCGGCTCCATCTTCTCTGGATTCCCGATGCTCACCTGCACGGCAGAATTAACACGTGTTGACTCATTAAAAAGACGCATGTGGACGGTGGACGTTAGTGTGTGCTTAAATCACCACCAAGGGAGCAGAAATGTGCAGAAACAGACGATAAAATGGAGCTAAAACTGTAAACTTTTGGTTGTTTTTGCTCTTTTCACGACACAAACAACTGCTAGTTTAAATTCCTAAAGGTAAAAAACATTTTCAGAACTTTATAGTTCTTCATGTCGTGCAATCTTCTGAGAAAGTAAACATCTTAAGATCAGTGACGTCAAAAACAAGTAAAAACTAAATCTAAAAACTCTAAAAACTAAAGTTCAAATAGGTTTATAAGTTAATTAGATGACGTTACACATGTCAAGCTCACTGGTGCACAAAAGACTCACTGGTTTCTGTTATAAATATAATTTTAGACATTGAAAATTAATTTCTTATGTTTATAAAAGTTTGGTGTTATATTATTTTCCCCAATTTTATTCTTTTTATTCATTTTAAGTTCATAAATAAACATATATTTTCCTAAATCCTCTTATTTTTAATTACCGTTATTCAGTTTTTTAAATTCCTTGTGACTATTATTATTGTTTGTATTTTCTTTCTTCTTATCATTTATTTATTCATTCATCTATTTTTACAGATAAACATATTTAACATAAATCCTTGTCAGTTTCTAAAGTACCCAAATGATTTCAATAAAAGGAGGTCTGAAATAAAGTTATTTGCTTTTAAGTAGAATAAAGAAAACATTTGTAATAAATAATGATGGAAACTCGTGTGTGAGGTTGTTTCTGATGTGCAGTGATGGATTACTTTCACTAATAATGTCATAATAAAGTTCTGCCACGTTGTTTGTCATTTTAAATACGTTAAATCGTGATTTGTTTCGGCAAAATCAGAGGTCAGGAGCCTTTTTAGAGCTTTGAACTGTGATTTAACACAACACTCGAGCAAGTAAAGATGCAGGACACAGGTGGGCCGACGCTCACCTCTGGAATCCACAAGGCACAGCTGACGTGGACCCACTTGGTTCCACTCCGGGTCGGCTTCATGGCTCCGCCCTTCTTGGGACACAACTGGCACTTTGGCAGGATGCCGAGGGCGCAGATCCGACACAGCCAGCTGCCCTTCGGGACTTTCTGGATGCCGTAACAGGCCTGGCGAGAAAACAGACGGTGGGCTCAGCTTCCAGACGGTAAGCAGAAATGGAAACCGGTGAACACACAGACGGACAGTGAGGAAGAGAGTCGGATGAACCGGCAGACGTTGTTTTATTTTTGATTTTTCTCACAATTAAACTGAATCTAGTCTCCTAGCGTGTAAAAGTAACACCATTTTGGTTTTTTAAAAAAAGCCTTTTTACAGATAAACTGGGTTTTATTTCAGAGTTTTTCTGCTGGATGAAGATTAATAAAACAGATATGTAGCTGATATTCTTGCATAAAGTAACTGAAATGGGACAGATGGTAGAAGTTGTTTAAACTTATATTGTATTGACGCCACAAGCTAAGTGTAAACTAATCAATAAATCAATTAATTCTGGTAATTTTACGCCTCTATTAGCTTTGGATTTGTGGTATTTTACCCTTTTGGCTGCAAAACAAACGAGTTATTATAAGTCACTGAACTCTTGTTTTTCATTTTGCTGAAGAACAACATGTGGCCACTGCAGCACTTCGGTGTTTAAAACTGAATCTGTGATTTTGTTGATTCAATTTTTATCGCTTTCAATGATGTCATGAGATTATTGATTTGATTTGGGGGCAAAGTTTGCAAAAACAATAAAAGGAATTTTATTCTACTTTATCGCATTAATGCTAAAAGACAAAGATAATGTGTTGGGGACATCGAGGAATGAATTATCGTGTATTTATACAATATTACGATCACTAAGGAGGCAGAAACAGCAGAAAACAATGTGGAAATATCGGCTTTTTACGCGTTTTTCATAAAGATTTAACGGAAAAGATCACGCAACATGTCGACATTCAGCTACATTGACTCCAACAGATCTCTTTCCGTCACGTTTTTCTTGATTCAAAGCGACTCTGCGTGTCGGCGTCTCACCTGGTGGACGCAGATGTTGCACTTGTCGCAGAACACCATCTCGTTGTTGTCCTCGCCGTCGGGCGACTGGCAGACGTCGCACACCACGTCCTCGTCGTACTCGATGCCCAGCCCCTCCTCCGTCTCCACGGCGTGCGTCATGTTCTCGTGGCAGCAGCGCTCGAACTCCTCCATCACCCGCTCCATGGTGATCTCGTCCAGCGGCGAAATGGCTGCAAAAAAAATAAAAATTTCATGACGCCACAAATCGCACTTAAAAACATCTCCCTTCAGTTTTTATAATTTGAAGCTGAGGTTTAGGCGTCAATTATGTAATTTTTGGGCTTAAAACTAACTTTAAAATCATAGTAATCAAACTCCAAACGCTCACAGAGTTTAGAGGTGAACTCATTCAACCCGACAGCCACGAAATTACAAAATTGCTTAATTACGGGTTCCAGTTTACTCTTTGAACCGTTGAACCAAAACAGCGAAGGCAGCCGTGAAAATCTAAACAAAGACAAGGTCAGAGCAGGACGAGCGGCCAGAAATACATAATGAGGGGGAAAAAAGTGTCTTTATTGAAAAAACTTGAACCCAAAAAGTTGACATAATTACAGAGGTTCCAGCTGAAGGAGAAGATTGAGTGAAGTTAAGAGGATGAGGAAGATAAACAAGAAATGAAATGATTTAATTGGCTCTCAGCTCCGATGTAAACCTGCGGTGTCTGTTTCTGCAGCAAGGGACGACTATTAAACTACAGCAGATACGTTTAACTGCATCGAATCGTCTGATTAGTCACATTTTTTGCTTTTGGAGGATGTAAAAAATGTCTGAATCTTTTTAGATGTTTCCTCCGCTGTCTCGTAAACAACAGCTAGCAGTCTGCAAAACAAGGAAATAAGACTGAGGAGAGCTTGTTTTATTCCTGCGGTAACAAGGAAGCAGCTCCATGATTATTTTACCTGGCGGTGCTTCAAGCTTCACAGTAGTAAAAAAACAACAAACTACTGTCAAGAGCTACACAGAAAAACTAATCAGTCTGAACTCCAGGTCTCTGTTCTACTTGGTTTAAACTGTCCACCAAGACTTCAACTTTTGTGGTGGTCAAACCTGCTCAATCACTTGTGAAAGTTCAACAGAAATAACTTTTTTTCCATTTTTCTGACCAAATACTTCATATTAAAAAGTTTTCTACATTTTAAATATCCAAATTTTATGATTATAAAGTTTAAAAGCAATCAGAGACGGTTGAGCAGAAGGAACTTAATGATTTGAGATGGAAGAACCCAAACTTCCGACACTAGAAACGAACTTAATGACTGTAATTAAAATATTTAGCTGACATTCTTTCAACTAGCTAGGACTGTGTTGCTCAAAGAAACTTCATTGTGTCTACTGATGGGTATAAAAACAGCTGCTATGATGCTAACATCCCATGTTGAAACGCTGACCTCCCAAGGAATGAAAACAAACACAGCGTTGAACTACTGTCATCCACTGTAGTTCCTAAAATCACACTTTTCTAAATAATATCTACAAACAACAACAATCAGATTTAACAAGGATCCCCAGCTGTAGTCAAAGCGTCCGCCCGGTCACTCACCCATCTCTGCAAACTCCTCGTTGATGATCTGCAGCCAGGCGACATCCTCCTCGTTCAGGTCGTAGCGGCACATCCCCTCCGCCAGCGTCCGGATGTCCACGTAGCCGAGGGCCTCGGCGCCTGACGTCCGGATCAGCTTCTTTGGCCTGATGAACATGACTTCCTTTCCTTTCTCTGCCAGCACCCTGCACAGTTCAGATTAAAGCACAGCATAAATCTGAGTTTAATGTCAGCCAAGAATGATAAATGTCGGCGTGTTTAACTCGATTTTTCACAATATAACGAGTCAAAAAAGGGACGTTTATCAACTTTCCTCACACCGGCAGGTCCTACATGAGTCACGCCCTAACTCATCTGAACTGATATATAAATATACTACTACTAATATACAGCTCTGGAAATAAACATACGACCACTGCAATGAATATTTTCAGCCTCTAACTTTGCAATGCTTGGTGAATCTTTACTGCTTTTTCTTCTTTAGGTTGTACTGGACGCCATTTTGCTCATTTTAAGTCGGTCAAAATTCTCTTCTTTTAGACATTGCTGAGTGATAATTTAGTTTGGATTATCTGTTGACTTCTACAGCTTATGCACAAAAAAACAACTCAAAAATGTGTGAAATGAAGATGCTTCATTATTTACCCACGATGACAAACTTCTAACTAAATCATCACTGTTCGAGGCCTCTTGTTCAGACTTTTTAAAGATTAAATGAGGTCTAATATTTATTTCCAAAGCTGTATGTACTTTGCTTTTTAAAACTTTCAACCAAGACACATATTAAGGAGGATAAATTAGTGTATAAATCAACTCGTCAGTGCTCTCTGATGGTGACACCATTTCTAAACCGCCTCAAACCAGAACAGATCAATACAGATGCAGTGAGCTAATATCGGCCGATATATTGATCCAGCTCTGGTCTAAATGCACACTAACGTCATCAATCCATCTGGGAAACTCAGACGCACACAGCTTTAAAATCAAACCGCAGCAGAGGACTAGGTCTGCAGGACGGAGGTTACCTGGCGATGGGCTGTGGGATGGACTGAGGGCTGACGGGGACCTGGACTCCTTTCTCCCACTCCTGCCTCCACGGGTCGGCGAGGACGTAATAGTCCTCTGGGTTCAGCTGGTACGAGTCGTGCACCTTCATGGCTGTGATCAGGTCCGTCCTGAACACCTGCAGCAACGAGAGGCGGCTACACATTTAACTGGAGAAACATTTTAAAAGTTTGTTGGTGCTGTTTGAAAGTTGTTAGACGTGGCCTGAAACATAAAACGCATACAAAAAAAACAAAACAAAAAAAAAGCATGGAGACAATGCTTAGAAGAAACATAAAGCAAGATGAAAACAGACATTTCAAGAATTAAACAGATGATAGAACGTATGATGAAACTGAAAGTAAAGGTTACAGAGCAGATATTCAGAAGCTTCAGATTTGGTTCAATGAAAGGTTCAGCCTCGATTTAAACTGAAAGTTGCAGCAGACCTGAGCAGCTTTCTAGGAGTTTGTGTTGGTGCATTCAACTGAACGCTGCCTCTCTGGATGGTTCATAAAATAAATGTGTTTTGGCTTTAAACCAGTCAGATCTTAAAAAGAGTGTTTTTAAATCACTTAAAATATTAATAACAAGTGCAAAAATAAAGAAAGATGTGGATGTAGTGACGTCTTCCTGTTTCTCTACGAGGGGTTAACTGATTTTTGTTTAATTGATAAATCAATTTTGGAGCTGATATACATTTATCCATGCTTAAATAAAAGTGAACTTTTCAACATTTACTCTTCTGCGTTCCCAGCAGCTTGTTATTGGACCTGTAACCGGTCAGATAGAGTTTTGGGCGGGACATAACTCCAGACAACAGAGTGGTCACCACAGATAAAGAAGTGGTTGCATCAGAGCGCAGTTTTAAATCATTCATTTTATCAGTAACTGGTTAAAAAACATTTTTAAAAAATACAAATTTACAATTACTGTGAAAAATGCTGAATATTTGATTCAATAATCCGCCGACTCGTAATCTCCATAATTAAATGTCTCCTATTTTGGCCTCTGAAATAGTGCGATAACAACTATTCGGACTACATTTTTTAAAAAAAATAGAAATGCAGATTATGAGCTAAATAATGAGTTGCAAAGCACTTCATCTGCCATTAATAACAGATAAGACGTGCATATCTTCCAGGGAGTTTACCGTACATCAGTGTTTGCACAGGTCAAAATACACAGCCGGGCAGCAGCCAATCAGGACCCTTCCTCGGGCCGAGTCACTGTTTTGCTTTAATCTGATTGGCTGTCCGGTGGCAGGGCGTCCCACGGCCTGTGGGGGACCAAGTCCACAGACTGTACCGGAGATAACAGCAAAAAAATGTCCACCTCAGGACCTGAAAGTCTACTGTACCGGCTTGATAATGAGTCTTTTAAATGCAGAAATAAAATAACAAGTCACTTTACATGTATTCTGACAGCTGTTTCGTGTTTATTATTATTATTTTTAATAATATATTTATTCTATATTAACTTTCCTCAAAGACCCTAAAAATAAAACAATGAACAAAAGTAGGACAGTAGAGGCTGACGACAAAATGTAGGTCATTAGTCATGTGATGGAGTGTTTTTTGTTGTATTTTTCTTCACTGTTTTCACTGCAGCATAAAGTCCTCTAAGCACCTCCATGGAAACAGCACAACCATTATAATTATAGGCACCGTCATAATGCGATAAATCGTAATAAAAGACAAAACTAAAGTCAAATTTCTTTGTTTATTTATGTTTTTCCAACTGCCCACATGTGTTACCGATACTGGGAAGAAAAAAAAAAAAAACATGTTACAGATGCTTTACAGCTTTCATTTCTAGCTGCTGTACGTAAACACAGCCTGCAGTTCAGCCGAAAAGTCCCTGAATTTTCGTAGCACGACTGTTGGTTGCAGCCGAGTCACCGAAGGCTTCTTGATTACGCAGAGGAGAACAGAATTTTTTGACTTTTACAGAATTTCGTTAAAGCAAATGGTCCATTTTTTGTAGCAATTATTTAACGTACAATACAGTGATTCTATTAAATATCACGATTTTAAGCTTGGATTTGGTTTGGTGGTTGAAAATCTGACAATTCAGTTCTTTTTTTAAGTTTTTTGTTATTTTTTAAAAAGATAAGAGGACTTTTAAACTCACTGGTAGGTTTTGTGGTTCAGCTATACACGTGAAACCATCCTGAAAATCCTCTAAAACCAGGATATTACGTACGAGTGGGATAACCGACGTACCTCGGAGGGTTTCTGTCCGGTGCCTCTCCTGGGCTGTGACGAATGTTGGGACCAACAGGTAGAACTACCTGGAGAAGAAGCACAACACAGTGTTACAGCTCTCAGCATGTCTTGTTGCTGCTGCTGCTGCTGCTCTAATTAACAACATCCTCCCTGGATTTCCCCCCCGAGAGGTGAAACTTAGAGAAAAACAGAAGCTCATTTGGATACTCAAAATGGTGCAACCGACATTTTCTGTTTCCAATTTCACTTTGCAACATATCATTAATTTGAATTATGAAGTTACTGCCACTATTAGTATTAAAACGCCATTAAAAATCACTCGCACGATGCTCATATCACACACGAGGAACTGCGGCACCCGTAAGAGTTTTGTTTATGTGCTCTTTAGACATCAAATGCGCCGTTCAACCTGGTTAAGAGGCGAGGCTAAAAGCAATTTGCAGTAAGTGCTCCGGGTTTGTTTTTATTCCAGATGGCACAATGAGATAAGAAGGTTCAGTCACAGTGAAGCATGTGTTTGTGTATTGGCTCTTCTGTTTGAATTATGTGGGAAAAACCTCCGAGACGTCACGGCGGATCAAACAAACAACCACAAGCTGTTTGTTTAATCGGTCACATTTGAGATTGCTTCTGCCTGACCTGCCAGGATGTCTTCACAGGTCCAGATGCACCTCCTGTTCCTACTCTTTCTCCTGATTCTCTGACTGTAGACCTTCTTTTTCTTTTCCCTATTCTCTGTCCATCTGCTGCCTTTCCGTCCCTTTCTTTGTCTCCTTCCTGAGTATGAAGTATAGACTTGCTCACAGTGACAAAACAAGCTTTTTAAAGACATTCAAAAGCCACTTTTACTCAAGATACTGAATCACACTCTTTACTTTTTGCTGGACTAATACGTCTTCCTGGCACTCTTCCTGCCAGGAGGGTGGCAGAACTGTACCGACCTCATTCAGGTCTATATTTGGAGCTGGTAGGAATGAGTCAGCAGAGGCAATATTTTGCTTACTTCCATTGTCCGAGTCATCGCTGCTGCTCGGGTGCCTGCTTCTCTTCATTGTCGTCTGTCTGCAGAGCTCCAGCTTGAGGACGCTGCACAAACAAGACAGCATGTTAAGCCACAGGAGGGATTACAGAGAAGATTTACAGCTGTGATAAAGGAAATTTTCAACATTAACTATAATAAACCCACTTTATACCCAACTGTTTATGTTTATGGTTGGAAAAACCATCTTTGTCCACGTTGTCTGACAGTATCGCATACACATACATATGTCGCATCATCACTGAAGATATTTTATGTTTACATTTTGTGCAAACTAAATGCTAAAAAAGTACAACATTTTTAGATCCATAACTTCACAAGACACAACATCCAAAAAAAGAACAGATAAGAAATCAGCTCCAATAAACAAAGTGTTTAAATCATAAATTTATGAAGAAAAAATATATACAACTGTCCAAATACACGTTTTTTCAACTGCAAAAAAATATAATGTTACATAAAAACCTTTAAGTTTCTACTGTCTACTAACATTTAAGTCAGTTAATAACCACTAAGCATGGTAAGCCAGTTTAGGAAACATTAGAATATATGCAAATGATGCACAATAACAAGTTAACAGTAAAATATGTTTGTACAATGGATAAAAGAAGACTGATATAGCTGTTAGCGACATGCCGTAGGCTAATTGCAACTAAAAACAGAGATTTAAGACTTCAAAAGTGCACCATAAACTACAAGATAAAGAAAATATTCTCCCTGCAGTCCTGGTTAGGGCTGAAAATGAATGGTTTAATGAAAAATAATCAGCCAATTATGTCCTCACTGACTCAATTAGTTGTTTGGTTGATTAAACAGGAAATATTTACATTTCAGAAGCTGGAATCAGAGGATTTTTAACTCTTTCCTGAAATAATTACTCAAATCAATTAGTTGTTTATGACAATATTTCCTAACTATTACTGTCATTGACAATTAAACTACTGATTATTTTCTTAATTGATAAAAAGTTCAGTCTTTAAAATGTACGAAAATCTCATCAGAGGTCCCCAAAGCACAACACGACTTGGTAAAGTGTTTTGTTTTGTTCACATCGGGAGGAAAGAAACCACAAAATTATACATTTAAGAAGCTGAAATCAGAGAATTCAGACTTTTTTTTCTATAAAAACGTCACTCAAACCGGTGATCGAAATAGTTGGTGATTAAAATATAGTTGACAATTAATCAGTGCAGCTCCTGTCTTTGCACAGAAAAGCTAGAAATTGATCAAAGCTCACTCAATATTTACATTACTCCCAGGGTGAAATTGCTAAATATCACTAATTAGAAGCAGACCAGTGTACACGGAGCACAACTGGGACAAAACTGTAAAAATTTGCCACTATTCACTTGTTTCCTTGCTGGTCTGACAGCTCAGCAGCCCTGCAGGGATGTGTACACACCACACTCACTGTTCGAGCGATGACAACAACAAGTTACCACACGCAGCACATGCAGGAAACAACGCCGTGCAGTGTTGTGAACTTACGCTACGACGTGCAAAAACAAACAGAAAAAAACAGCAGCAAGGATTTTAAATTCCTGACAAGTGGCAATGTCTCGGGGTCTGCTGGCAGCGTGCACAGGGGGGAAAGGTGCTACCCCTAACTTAGCAGGCTAGGCTAACAGCAGGCTAGCCACGGTGCGTGTGTGACGCCCCTTCTTCAAAACAGAAAGTAGCGGTTAGCTACCTAGCGGCTAACAGCTCCTCGTAACTTACTGCTGTTTACTCCAGCAACACGGTGACGCATACACAAGGCGGTGTTGTGTTTTAACTGTCGCGATGGCAACTTTGAAACCCGCCACAAAGCGTTGCATTTTTCAAAAAAAATCAGGCTGAAAACTCTAGCTGGCTAATGCTAGCATGTTTGCTAATGTGCCAGTGCCGTTATGCAACATGCGGGCCCACCCACACCCGGCGCCTCGAGTGGAAATGTTATGATAGCAGCGAGTGTTTAAAACTACACAGATACGTCTAACAGATTGAAATGTGCCATTTTCCTAAACTCTAAAATCCCGGTTTGCACCAGAAGTGTTTCACACAGTTGAAATTTAGCGATTAGCAGCGCCAGCTAGCCTGCTAGCTACACGTAAGTTAGTGTAGTTTGTGTTTAGCATTAGCCACCGCTGCTAACAACGTTGGCTCGCACGGTGCCCGTCATTAAAATCCAGTCACAGCCCGCTAACTGTCAAAGGTTAGGGGTCAATTATTGATCCGCACAAACTAACCGATATCAACACCAACACGTGAATTAAAAGTGCTAATTAATAATAAAGTGCTGTTTTGCTACCGGTGCGGCTAACCGGCGGGGCACAGTGTGGCAGCTTTACCAGAGAGCCACTGGCTGAGGTTAATCTTTGGCGCCATTTTAAATGACGATGTTTCCTAGCGGACTGCTGCCATACTGGAAATATAAAACTCTGTCAAATAGCAGCGGAAGAACATTCTGGAAGAAACGCAAACAGAACACGCTGAAATGTAGAGATTAGAAACCACACGGTACATACTGAGCGCGCCAGGCAGCTGCGAGCCGGTGTTTGAGTTTGATGTGAAGCGCAGTTTGTGCCGTGAGTTCCGCTTGACCCGCATTCCACATACACAAACACGGAGCGGCGGCCGGGAGGAGGGTCCGCTGGCCGGCCTGCAGCGGCGCCGCTCGGCCGCTGGAGGGCAGCAGGAGCCGGAGGACCAGACCCGGAAGTGAGGATCAGGGCAGGAAAGTAAGAGTAAAAGTTTTCCTCTGGTAAAAAAAAAAAAAAAAAAACACGTTTCCCTGGAGTTTCTAATAATGTCAACAAACACTGAAGTGAACATATTTTCCCTAATAAATGTGTAGAAACATTCCTCCACCACAGTTTTATCTATTAAAGGCACAGACCTCCTATAACTCCATGTTGCTTGGAAATTACCCATTTTTTATTTTTCAACATAAAAAAAATATACTTTTAACCCACTAAAAATGCAGCATTCTTCGTGACAGGCTTTTGAGGTGTTCCAGGTTAATTATTTTATATATACATGAATGTAATTTTAATTTTGTGTCTCTTTGAGGCCACTTTTGTCCTATTTTTGGTCATATTGTTTCACTTTGTGGTATTTTTATTTATTTTTTTTGTCCTACTTTGGTCATTTTGGCATCTCCTTTTTCCCTCCTCCTCATTTGGCAGGTAGAATATGTTTCGTATAGTCCAAGAAATGTATTAAAACTTTTTTTTTTTTTTTTAACTTTATGTATTTATATGTGCTCTGGTTGGGTAATTTTGTGTTTGTCAAATTGTCGATTTTGGAGTCTTTTTTGTGCCATTCAAGCAGGAAAAAAACAACAACAAAAAAACACGTTACCCTGGAGCTCCTTAAAGTGTCAACAAACACTGAAGTGAACATATTTTTTTCCTTATAAAAGTGTGGAAACATTCCTCCACAGTTTTATCTGTTAAAGACACAGACCGCCGATAACTCCATGTTATTAGGGAATTATTAATTTTATCCACTAAATTACAGCTTTCTGCACCTAAAAATGCTTTAATCCTTCATTAATAACAATACTGTTAATTTTGTGTCTGTTTGAAGCCAATTTATTCTGTTTTCGGTCATTTTTTAAAAAATTTGTGGGATATTTTTTTGGGTCCCATTTTGGTCATTTGGTCATATTTTCCTCCTCATGTGGCGACACAATGTCTGTCATACAGTCCAAGAAATGTATTAAAACTTCTGATTTTTTTTTTTTTGTGTTGAAGATGAAGGTTTTGTTTGTTTGTTTGTTTCCTCCTGTTCTGGTAATTTCATATTTGTCAAATTCCCAAGTTTGGGGTCATTTTTTATTTTTATTTGTAATTTTTTAAAAACTCCATGTTGTTGGAAATTATCCATTTTAAAAATGTTCTCCGCTAAATAACAGCCTACTACACCAGAAATGTATTTCTAGCCCACTAAAAATTCAACTTTCTTTATGATAGGCTCTTGATGTTTTCCAAGTTTTTTGTAATTATTAATATTTTCCCTTGTTTTGCTAATTCTGTGTTTGTCAAATTGTTAATTTTGGGGTTATTTGTGTTTGACTTGACGTCTATTTTTAAGTCTCTGGCCTTTAATTTTGGTTGTTCTGTGTCTCTTTTAGATATAAATTATAATTCCTGACTCCTTGGTGCTCTGGACTTGTGCACAGTAGGCCCATTCATACATTTATCAATACATGCACCATAATAAGATGTCTTTTAATATCTTACGGTCATTTTTTTTAACATGCAAACAGAGACAAATCTTCACATTTACTTACATTGTTTTTTTATTTCTTAAAACTCCAGTTTCAATAAGAAAAAAATACTCCAAATATACAAAAAGAAACTAATCTGTACTTCAGGTAAAAGGTCAGTGCATAGAAATTCAAGAGGTTAAAACAAACAGAAAAGGAAAATAACACATAGAGAAAATATTGTGTTTATGGAGAGACTTCCTCAGTTTGATAAAAACACAGAAATGTGAGTCGGCTGCTTTAACTGAACACAAGCACAGTTTTTAAAAGACCTTTTGACAAAGAATGAACAAGTTTTGATTTCATCTGCAGGATTCCTGCTGCGACACATTTAGTGGAGTAACAGGACTGAGGAAGGACCGTTTTTCTGTGTTTCTGCTGCACAGGTGGATATTTTTACATTCACATCTCATCAATGACAAACATGCAAACTCAAACTAAACTACCACAGCTCCTCTAACAACACAACTGAATCATGTGTGGACTTGATTTCAGGCGTAAACATAAAGTCCAGTCAGATAAAAGAGGCAGAACTGCATCAAACATCATCAGGTTTGTTTTTTTAACACAGTGATTTTTCCTTCAGCCTTTTCTAAACAGCGAGTGTAAAACATAAAGAGAACAGTTTAATACCAGCAGAGGAGCAATGAGGGTAAACTGAGGGTGATCATGAAGAGACTGAACCTGAACTACACACGACACAACATCACAACACTCAGCTTTCCTTCAAGCTTAAAGGTTTTTCCTAAATTTAGCTGCACGTCTTTCTGCACTTTCAGGTTTTACTTTGATTCCTGCTGCTGGCGGAAACGCTCCGGTACACCTTCTGGATTCTGTGTTTGAATCCTTTAAAACGAAAGATCATGAATATCCAGCAAGAGCAGATACTAGAGATCAATAACACTGACTTTTCTGCTAAAACTGAGAAAGATTTAGACTTTAACCGGATTATATAATAAGAACTATGTGTTGTTGTTCATTTCTGTTATACAGTAATTACCTACAGCTATTTTTTTTACAACTTTGAGCTGTGCATAGTTGGTTTCTATGATGATTTTTTCTTTTTAAAAGTTGCTAAGAAAAATCTGAACTAACCATCCAGGATTATAAATACAGTAAATCTTGCAAAAAATCATTTAGGAAACTGTTCACTGTGATACTGGTGCAATATGTTGGTTAAATAGTCACAGGAAGTGGTTTACAATTCACATAATGATCCAGAAACATATAGAACTTTATTTATTTAGTGTCTGTTATATGTGATGTCAAAACATGGCTGCAGATGTTGATGAGATTTTGGTATTTTTGGACTCTTGTCTAACAGAAAACACAGTTAATGTAAAACTACGCATTAGGGCAGTTTAACATGAGCAATGTTTCATGATTTTTGTCAATAAAAAAATAATTATTAGCTCCAATAGGTGGAAAAATATATCTGATAACGGGCACTATGTTGGCTTCTTCTAAAGAAACAGTCTATTGACGTTTTGCAGAGTTAGATAGATAGAAGGCATTACATAGGAAGCTCCTGTTTGCACTCTTTATGGGTTATTCCATCTCAAATCATCAGTAATCTTCTGCTCAGACATCTCTGATTTGCCTAAAACTGTTGTATCATAAACTATTTATATTAAAAATGGCGTCTGTGAAATGTTAAACTGATAAATGCCACCGTTCTAACAGATCTATGTGGTTGGTCATAGCCAAGGAATGACACAAAACTATACAACGAGTCTCCAAACCGAGGTTTATACCTACAAAAATATACCAGACTATCAACTAATCGTTTTGTTTTTGTGGCACAACTTGTCAAATTTGCTCAATTACATATAAAAGTTCAGCAAAAATAATTTTCTTTTCAGTTTTGTGACAACATATTTCATATTAAAATCATTTTATAAGTTTTGTTTCCTATTGTTGTGACCTGCAGCTACATGTGGTTCAGAAAATATCACTAGTCGACTTCTGGGTTATTAATATTTTTGTTAATGAGCTCAAAGATGGAACTTTTCTTGAAATATTTTGTCATATTTCAACTCACCTATAATCAGAGACAATTTTATGTACTTGTCCAATACTGCAGATTCTGAATCAATGACATGATGAGAAATAACAGTGACAAGTTCAGCTCTTTAACTTAAATAGTTCCTGAGATGTTGTCGTTCAAACGGCCTCAAATTTCAATGTGCGGTCGGGCGTTTTTAAAATGTATTATCTCAAAAAGTATTTGATAAATCAATGTCAAATTTCACAAACATATTTATACATTTTCATATTTTATGCCACAAAAATTTCAGGCACAGCAGCAATAGTCGAGCAGAAATTTTTTGAAAACTTTTGTTGATTTGAGATGAAATCCTCCTTATGCTAAGCTAGGCTAACCATATTTAGCACACTTCATTTCACTCTTGACATGAAGAAATCCTTCTTTAATCTGCAATAACGCTTGTATTTTGATGTAATTCTGTACAGAGATGCAGAAATGTTTTGCTAATATTAGATTAGAGGCAAATATTAACCAGTAGCAATTTCAAACCAGAAATGATTGTATTGATGGGTAATTTATTTTAATGTATCTCAAAAAATATTTAAGAACTACAGCTAAAATTGTACAAATATCTTTATAAACACCCATATTTTATGCTTCAAATGCTTCAGGTAAATCAGAGACGGACAAGCAGGCTTTTTTTTTATAAAACTTGTGATGATTTAAGATGGGATGATCCTTATGCTAAGCTAGGCTAACTAGCTACTTTAGCATATTAGAGTGGCATCAGTCTTTTCATTTCACTCTTGACAAGAAGAAATCCTTCTTTAGTCTGTAATCATTCTTGTATTTTGATGTGATTCTGTACAGAGATGCAGAAATGTTCTGCTAATATTAGATTGGAGGCAAATACTGATTACCAGAGAATGATTGTATTGATGGTAATTAAAAAAAAAAAAAAAGTATCTTGAAATATACTTGATATATACGACTAAAACTTTACAAATACCTAAATAATTTTTTATATTTTATACTAAAAAAGTTTCAGGCAAATCAGAACAGATTTTTTTTTGTAAAACTTCTGATGATTTCAGATGCTAAGCTAGGCTAACCAGCTGCTTTCACATGCTAGGGTGGGATCATTTTCATTTCACTGTTGACAAGAAGGCAAAAAGTGCAGAATTCCTTCTTTTATCTGTATTAATTTGTGTATTTTGATGCAGAAATGTTTTGCCAATATTCATTATTCATATTAAATATCAACTAACTATTATTATTAAAATAAAAAACTCAGAAAGTATTTGATATGTCAAGTTAAAATTTCACATATATCTTTATAAATGTTCATATTTTATGCTATAAAAGTTTCAGGCCAATCAGAGATGTTGGAGCAGCAGTGTTTCCAAACATCTTCATGATTTAAGATGGGATTATCCAGATGCTAAGCTAGGCTAACCAGCTGCTTTCACATGCTAGAGTGGGATCAGTCTTTTGTCAGGCAAAAAGTGCAGAATTCCTTCTTTAATCTGGATTAATTCTTGTATTTGGATGCAGAAATGTTTTGTTAATATTAAATTTGAGGCGAATACTGATTTAATATATCATCCAGCAGCAGCTTGTATTGTATCACTGAGCTGCAAACACAGTATCTGAAAACACCACAACACCAACTGGAGATCCAACTGCTGTTTCCGTCCATCTCCAAACCTTTTCCAAGGCCTTGAACTCTCCCGGTTCAGCCCCTTGCTCCTGAGAGACACCCCTGGAGCTCATCTGACGGCCAGGATGGCGTCGTAGGACTTCCCGGTGCGACACACCTGAACGTTGTGGAAGCCGGTCTGGTTCAGCATGTGGACGTACTCGGACGGCGGACGCTCGCGGCCTTCAGCCTGCACCAGCATGTTGAGGGAGAACATCTGAGCCATGACGGGTCCTCGTCTGTTCTCGAACAGCATCGCCTCGACCAGCAGGACGCCGCCGCCTGACGGGACGACACATAAGCTGAGAGCCGGACTGGAAACGTTCGTTATTCATCTCGTGTCCATCAAGAATGTTAGAAGAAAAAAAAGCATCAAATGTGGATCTTTAGCATCTTTACGCCTTCACAGATGTGGACAAAGGATATCTCTTCAAACGCTGACAATAGTAAACTGATTAAAACAACCCTTCCGAAGAAGTTATGAACGTTTGGAGGGAATTTCTTTACGTCTAGCTCTGACGTAGTGATCTCAGGTCTCTGGTAAAAGTTACATAACAGAAGAATTCATGCAGCAGGTTGTTGAAGACACACATAAAAGCTGACTCACCTGGTCGGCAGGCGTCATAGATCTTCTTGAGCAGCGTCACACACTTCTCCTCAGGCCAGTCGTGGATGATTCTGGCCAGAACGTACAAGTCAGCAGCAGGAATGTCACCGCTGAAGAAATCTCCTGCACGCACAATAAAAAAACAAGTTTTTAATTATTCACTGAACTGAAATTAATCTGAAGCAACAATTCAGCAGGTTTGTGTTTGGACAATCAGTCTGATGTTAAAAACAAACTACAGGACTGTCACATAATAGAGTAAATCTGAAATGCATGACTTTATTATCTAAAAACACACAGGATTCATGTTATCCAGCATCGTTTTGCTATCACACTACAGATGGTGCAGCAGGTTTTTATTTATCAGATTTTTCTATGAGAATCAACGACACTCATCGGTTAGAAATAACCATAAATTTCACATATGATAGAGTAAATCTGAAATGCATGACGTTATTATCTAAAAGTGCACAGGATTCATATGATCTGGCATCGTTTTGTAGTTTTATTTCCCTCTGCTGTCCCACTTCAGAAGGTGCAGCAGGTTTTATTTGTCTGTTTGCTGAATGAGGGCGGTCGAGGCTCACCGGTCTGAAATGAAAAGGCGTCGTTCTCCTGAGAGAAATGCTTCTGAGCCGTCTCCACGACCTGCGGGAGGTCGAACACGGTGACCGAGGAGGTCGGATACGCCTTCGCCATCTCACGGGCCAGAGCGCCGGTGCAACCTGGGAGTCGTTCACACAGAGCCGTCAGTTCACTGGGAAACCATGCAGGAGGACACACGAGGCTTTGGGGAGATATTCAGATAGAGCCATGCTAGCTTAGCTTAGCATAAAGCGAGTCCACTGTGAAGAACTCTACCTCCGAGGTCGACGATCTTCTGAAAGCAGGAGAGGTTGAACGCCGTCACGATGTCGTGTCCGTCCAGTACCCACGAGGAGTTCATGAGGCCCATGAACTTCAGCATCTCCTCCTCAGACCTGCACAAAATAACTCAGACTCTTAAATCAACTCCAGGAATTATACATGAAGCATCTGAACATCAGCACCAACCTGTAAATGGCCTGAAACACCTCCTCCGGTGGAAGGCCGAACGTCCTCTTGTTCTGGTTCTTTCCCTCCCTGCACGGTGGAGAACAACAAACCGTTTGTTCCTGGTTTCCTTCTGGGGATTTTGTTTTAGTTCTGAAAACAGCTGCAACTACGCCTGATAAATAAGTGGAAGACTGTAATGTTTGTTAACTGTAAAAACGGCCAAAATAGCAGCAAATACTGGCAAAATAATGAGATTTTCTGCTGATTTAAATCCAGTAAAACGGTGTGACACACTGGAAAAGATTGAATAACTATTTGTAAAAAAAAATAGACATTATTTGTAGTTTGTTTTTTTTTGGTTTTTAATTATTATTCTTTTTTACGATTAACATGTAAATCAATACCTTTTTTTGACTGGTGTTATCTGTCCTTGAACAAAACAAGGACAATCTGTAGAATAATGGTTGATAAATGATTTACCAGCTGTTCTATCAAATAACAACAAACAGCTGGAAACAAATATAACTTTTAATGATTTAAATAAAGAAAAAAATGGTGTTATTGCATGGTCAAAAACAAATACAGATTTCTGATGTGGAAATGCTTTAAAGTTAGGATTCGTATTTTTTCTGTGATTTTTTTATTTTATTTATTAATTTATTTTTTTTTACCAGTTATCATCTGTAATTTAACAAAACAGAGAAAATCTGCAAATTATCCGTTGAAAAATTATTCACCAATATTTCTTTTGAATATTAGCAAAATATTAGCAAATATCTGTAAAATAATTATATTTTTCCCAATTTAAATATAGTAAAAAACATGAAACTAAATACATAACTAAAATAATAATGTTTGAGTTAGATAAACAAACTTAAAGAAAACAAAGACAGAACTAATTACGGTTTTATTTTGTTTTTTGTTTTTTCCCCCAGATTTTTGATGTGCACAGTTTTTGCCAGTTTTTTTTTTTTTTTTTTTTTTTAATAAATCAAATTTTTTTTGTGTTATTTCATTAGTTTTTTTTAAATCTGTAATTTATCAAAACAGGGAAAATATGTAAAATATCGGTAAATTATTCAAAGAACTACAGTTAAAAACACAATATTTTTTTACAGTGTGAACTTTTTTTGTGCTTAAATAATTAAAGTCATTTCCACCCAGAACAGTGAGTAGTTTAACAGCTGACTGTGTTCAGCTCCACCAGCTGACGTTCTGCCACCGACCTGACGGCGTCCACCAGGTTGTTCCACAGCGGGTAGATGGTCTGGGACTGGTAGATGATCATGTCGTGGAGAGACTTGACGCTGCCTTTGGCCAGGTAGAGGTTGGCCACGTCGCTGCTGCTGTACACAGCTGTTTGAACACAACACAACACAACACAACACAGTAAACACAAAAACACAACAGGCCAGGACTGCAAATACCGTCCACATGGAAATAGCTACGTTTTGTTCTTTAACAATATCACTGCATAATAACATTGATATTTTTTACTGTATTTAAATGTGAAAAAAAATTATTATCATTATTTCACAGATATTTGCCTTTATTTGAAAAAAAAAAAAAAGTATATGAAGCATTGAAAAATGTTTTGAAAAAAAAGAAAAAATAGGTTGTATTCTGTTGTGACAGATTTTTCCTGTTTTGTTTAGATAACAGTAAATAAAATAAAAATATTGATTTAATTACCTCTGTAAATAATGTCCACATCAAAAATCTGTATTTTTACAAATACTTATTCCACTTTTACATCATTTGACTGTAAAATGTTTTTTTTTTTTGCTGTTTAAATCCACAAAAATATTATTTTACAGATATTTACAGATACTTTAAGGAAAAAAATAAAATACAGTATTAAATAAATGTAAATATAAATTTATTAAACTGTTGTGTTGCAGATTGATTTTCCCTTTTATTCTAAATTACTGATAATATCGAGTGAAATCACAGAAAAAATATTAATTTACATGTTAACTGTAAAAAAAAAACAATAAGAAACAGGCCAAAGCTGGACATCATTTCTACATCAAAAAATGACATTTTTATCAAAAGTAATTTCTTCTTTAACAATGTCACTGTAAAAAAAGCTTCTTTTTTTTCTTACAGTATTTAAACCTGAAGAAGATATTATTTTACTATTTGCATTTTAAAGTTGAAAATGTGAAATAATTTACAGAATTATTATGCTACAGATTTCCCCTCTTTTGTTAAATTACAGATATTATTTAATAAAATCACATTTAAACTGTACATAATGGTCAAACAAAAAATCTGTACATTTATAAAATATATATATTTTATTTTTACAATGTGTGACTGTAAAATTACCGTTATACTGTTTGAATCCACTGAAAATCGAATTACTTTACAGATTATTTTCAGCATTTTTCTTCTTCTTCTTTTCCCCCCAATATTCCACCTTTTTTTTCTTTAATTTAATTTTTTTAATTTTTTTAATTTTTATTTTTTGTACCTTTTTTCTGGCACCATTGCTGCCAGATTTTTACATTTTTTTAAACCTTTTTTTTGTAAAAATTTGCTGCCAGAGTTTGAGGAAGATGATTCCCTTTTTCAACATGATAATCGGCTGCAAAAACATTTGGAGGCTGCTCAGGCGTCCACATACTTTTGGCCACATCCTGTATATTGATAATTAAACAGTGTCAGAACATCAGGTCATTCNGGTCTGTACCTTATGTAGTATCTGAAATACTACACCGTGGGTCTGGAACCTGCTGACCAAGTGGACAGGTCAAAGGTCACTGAAGGAGGTCGCCTCATATGGGGGTCAGCCATATGGTTTGATTGGCTCTTCGTTCAAACAGCTCCCCTATAGAAGCCAGTGGGTTTGTCTGTTCTGGAGGGTGATTCTGAGATATTGTACTTGCTTGAATAAACTTTTTTATGTATGTTTCAGCATCTTCACATCATCGCTACACAACAAACACTGACTGTATTCGGCGCTGTGTGATGACATGTGCTGTAAACTGCGCTATACAAATAAAACTGAACTGAATTGAACACGTGTTACCTTCGACACCCTGAAGCCGTTGAAATACTCCAGAAGTTTGAAGGGGTAATCCAGCTCGCTCTGGGACAGATGTTCCGCCATCACTGCATTCCAGCAGCAGCAGCAGCAGCAGCAGCAGCAGCTCAGGAAGCCTCGTTACAGCCGCAGCTCCTCGGAGCTCCTGGATCCGGGCTTTTGCTGGATCTCAGCCGGTGCTGTGGCCTGAAGAGCTGCTGCCAGGATCCGATCCGGGGAGAAGCAGCAGCAGCAGTAGAGGAAAGACGCAGATTGTTTTGGAAGGAAAAAGCCTCGAAATTCAACTTCTGCTGCAAAAAAACAGCGAATCTGTCGGTGCAGTTTGATGCAGCTGCAGCCTGGATGCAGTCTGAGAGCGGACCGACGGATAGGGCTCGGATCTGATCCGGATCAGACCCGGTTCGAGGCAGCAGAGTCGCTCGATGAACGCAGACTGAGCGAAGCTGCAGTTCCGGGTTGAACCGCAGCAGCTGCGGCGGCGCTGTGGAGCCGCTCAGGTCTCAGTGACGCTCCTTCGTTTGTTCCACGTCGCTGTTCTTCTGTGGTGTCGATCAGTGATCAATAACACGATCAGATCCCCGCTAGAAATATGACTGCAGCGCTGTTTATTGACTTGATTAAAATATTGAGTCATTCTGAGGAGTTGTTCCAAGTACGGTGGCCCCCAAAGGACAAACAAATCCAATCAAATCTTATTTCTTTATTTAATAAATAAATAAATAAATAAATAAATAAATAAATAAATAAATAAATAAATCTATTATTAAGCTATGTTTTATTTTAATATTATATGTATATTGGTATATATATATATATATATTTTATTTTTTAAATTTTGTGCACAATACATTTCTCTCTGTACGTATAAATAGATCTCTGTGTATTTTTTCCTAATCTATTGCTTAAATAAAGTCGTAATATTAATATTTACATTATTTCTTTTTCTGTTCCTACATAATATTTATCAATACATTAATTTACATCAGTTTATTTTACTATTTCTACACTTATTTTTATTTATTAACATGAATGCATATATATTACATATCATATATTAAAGTAAATATGGAAAGAATAATATATGGATATCTTTTAAATGATATAACCCTACATAACTTTTCTTTTTTAGCAACATATGAATTAAAAAAAAAAAAAGTCCCCTTTTTGTCTGTATTTATATATCTGTGTATTATTTTCCTATATTTTATTGTACTTATAAACAAACCAAAAAAACAACTTTGACATCATATAACACCTTGTAGGGTCTTAACCTGAACATTATAGTAAGTTAATCTGTATAATAATATTGCAGGAAACCTTCACTCATTAATATTTAATTTAATCAGATATATGTATATAATAACAATAATGATATTACAGGGTCTTAGCCCTAATATTTGAGTTATTTCTAATTTCTCTGTCCCTAAACACTATTTATTATTGTTATATATCATTTTATTTTAATATTCCTATTTACAAACATAGAAAAAACATAGTAGGTAAGTCCATCATAATATTGTAAAAAACAAAACAAAAAAATAATTTAATCAGATATATTTCTATAATAAATAATACTGCAGGGTCTTAGCATTAATATTTGAATTAGTTCTATTTCTCTGTCCCTACACAGTATGTTTAATTATTAATTTGTAAAAAATGTAAAATGCAATAAATACATATGTGCTGCCATTTCACATTTATAAATATTACTGCTCATTTATTTCCATTTTTTCCATTGATTTAAGTCGCCTTTAAGGAGTCAGAATTAGGAAATTTCCACTAATTCAACCATGTCTTTTTCTTCTTTTGACCAGAAATCACCTTAAACAAAACCTGAAATGTGAATCAACAATCTCAGAACTTCTCTTCTAGCAGCGTTTGGTTCTGTTCTTAATAATTGTTTTTTAACGTCTTTACAGCTACTGAAGAATGTTTGTGGAAAAGCATCCAACTTAAACTCCAATTAAACATTTTAGTAGTTCAACCTTTACTGTTAAATCTCCACCAGCTGCTGAAATGAGCTTATTTTAACCTGTAAACACACTTAAAGGTACTTTAACAGAATTTAACATAAAACGAGTCTGACGCTGACTTTAATGCACCCCTCAGACTTTTTAACTCACTCACCGGTACAACATATTTCCGTCGCCTATCAACGTTTTTTTCTTTTCCCCCCCTAGGTCCAATCACGGCCACCTCCGAGAGCAAACAAACTCCAGACGTCTTCAATTATTAACCAAATCGATTTATTATGCATGAACAAATCCCTTCCCTGCCTCGGCCACGCAGACACGCACACACACACCCAACATTTAAATACACGATGTGGTGGGAGATTCAGCATCAGCTCACGTCGTTGTTGCACATGCTTTAATAAAATGATAGATATATTTACAGGATAAGCAACGTCTCCGAAAAAAACAAAACAAACAAACAAACAAACAAACAAAACAAACAAAAAAAAAGATTCCGCAAGAACAGCTCCCGGTCCCGCCCTGCAGCACTTTGCTCTAGTTTATTTTTATTTTTTTGGAAATTCACCCACATTTAAAAAGAGAACTGAAAGGAAAAGAAAAACAAAAACACAAACAATGGGGGTTTTGGCCAATACGACATAGCATATATGGAGTTCATCAACTACATAAATATGGCAGTAACACTGAGTAATTCATACGGTCTATGTACAGAGTTTGTGAAGTGGGGGGATCTTACAGTCTGTGCGTGGACGACTGACACAACGTATGCCTTCTTTTCTTTTCTTTTCTTTTTTTAAAGTCGAGGAGAACAAACCGACGTCCCTCCGCTCGCCTCCTCCTCCTCCTTTGTTAGACCGGTTCAGGACTGATGCAACGAACAAAATAAGGCACAATTAATACTTGGACCATTTTTCAGGGGAATCTACAGACTTGCAGCTGGCTTGTGAGGCATGTAAACAATTGAAGTCGATTGATTAGGACTGCCTTTTATCACCTTTCCCTTTGTATTCCCGATCAGTGATTCAGTCCGTCTGATGTGATTCAAAAAATTCATGTGGCGAGGACCTCTGACCCACCCGTTCAAAAAAAAAAAAAAAATCAAAAGAAACGAAACAAACTCCCCGCCCGCCCAAAACGCCCGCTATGCTACTCAACAAATACAATCACATGGTGACAAACGAAGAGAACTAGTAGTGCATACACTACGAACACAACAGGAAGATGCCCCGCCTGCCTGGTGGCCTTTGGTTCAGGCTGCCCTCTGCACAAGGTTGCTGGGGGGGTGTGTTTGGAGAATGATTTGAACAAGAAACAGAAATGATTGACTGATAAGCTGTCCGAAGCTGAAGCAGTTCGATGTGACCAAACCGAAGATAGTAATAAAAAAAAACAAAGAAAGATCTGCCTCCCCGTCCCGATCCCGCTGATCCTCTCAGACCAATGTTTCTCCGACTGCCTCCGACCACCCAGCGGCGACTCTGCGGCGACCACGCTTTCCCCTCCCCCGCCCGGACTTCAAATATTTTTAAATGGCACGAGCCCTCGACCGCCGCCCCGCACGCCGTGGGGTTGTTTTGTTGTTGTTGTTTTGTTTTTGTTGTTGAAAGAAGCTCCTCGCCGTCTTTGTCGTCGTCGGTGGGATGATGAAGGGGGGGGAGGGAGGAAGGTGGGAGTTGGGGCAGGTAAAGGGAGGGGGGGCGGCAGGTGGGTCGGTTGGGGCAGGAGGAGGAGGTCCGTCGCAGCTGTTTGGGGCTCCTGGCTTTGGTCGGTGAAGATGGAACCGCTCAGTCGTGCTTCAGGTGGTCCTTGATGTCCTCCTCGTCTGTGTACTCCGACGGCTCGTCTCCGGGCTTCAGCAACCTCCCGACGTAATCGTATTTTTCTGGAAGGAGAGACGACAAGAAGGGTTACAGCAGAGCTCAATGATAATCAACAATAAACATTCGCTGTATAAAAAGACACAGAATTTTTTTTTTCTCACTATCTGACATTAAATGAGACGAAACTTTCCCTGTTTCAGGTCAGTCAGGATCACCAACATTATTTCTATTTGCTAAACGGCAGAATAATGAGAGAGAGAATTATTTTATAACTTTGTTCAAAGTCAGAAGTTTCCATCCATCTCCTCAGTATTTGGCAGCGTTGCCTTTAAACTCTATGACTTGGGTCAAACATTTTGGGTGAACAAAGTAATAATAAACTCTGTGTCTGATGCTTCATGTAAACCACCTTGTGTCCAAACTAAAGCTACGCTGTGTGTACATGTGAATGAGTGCAGGCTTAACAGTTATTACAAAAACTGTGAAGGATATTGTGAAACAGGCTGTAATTTTAGCACAAGGATCGTTTGACTCGGCAGTGAGAAAAATATAAAAATGTGACATGATGACGATTTGATTTTTGCTGCATGTTTCCTCACATCTGGAGAACTGAAGCATCCCTGTTTTATTTAATTATGAAGCCTCATTATAGGTGCACATTATTTACCATAAGTACTCGTTTGATTCCACCTTTATTCTGCTGATTTAAGTCTCCTTTGAGCACCAAACACTGAGAGTTTACATTTATTTTAATTATTTCCACCTTAAACAAGCCCTGAAATCAGACACACAGCTTTTGTTGCTTTAGTTTTTTGTGCTCAACAAAAGGAAGGAANATATACATACAGCTACTGTAATATTTGCTTAAATGTCTTTTGGCCATTTTTAGACTCTTCTGGATTCTGCCGACCAGCTTCTGGTTTATCTTTGGATGGAATCGCTGCAGTTCAACTGAGTTTGTTGGTTTTCTGACTTGTTTCTTCATCGGGTTCTTGATGGGTTTAGGTCAGAACTTTGGGGAGACCAGTCCAGAACCTTCATTCCAGCCTTAATTTAACCATTTCTTCACCACTTTTAACGCATGTTTGGGCTCGTAGTGTTGTTGGCAAACCCAACTGTGTCCAAGATCAACCTCCTGGCTGATGGTTGTAGGTTTTCCTGAAGAATGTGGAGGTGATCCTCCTCCTTTATTATTCTATTTACTTTGTGTAAAGCCTCAGAGCATGATGCTGCCACCTCCATGCTTGATGGTAGGTTTGGTGTTCTTGGGGTTAAAGGCCTCACCTTCTCTCCTCCAGACATGTTTCTGCTCAGTTTTTGTTCCATCTGACCACAGAACTTAACTGCAGCTTTAAAACACACAAACTGATGTAAACAGGGTGGTATTTGTTTGTCTGTACTGGAACAGAACCGTAGAGAACCATGAAGTAAAGCACAAGTAGTTTAAAATTAAGTGCAGTGTTTTAGTAAGTGTACTTTACATCTATAGGTAGAAGTACAAACAAATAATAGATCTATATATATCTGTACCTGCAAAGTAACTACAGCTTTAAAATAACAGTTTTGTAAAACGTGCAGTATTTGGTTGTACTAATGGAGCAGAAGTGTAAATAAAATCATACAAATAGCAGAAAATTGTGCCGTTTTTGTGTAAATATCCCCTCAGATGAACCAGTAAAACAGACCAGTGACAGGTTCGTAATGAGTGGGAGGAGACGGTTCTCAGGTGAGCCTCAATTAATCCTCTGTCACGTGGTTTCCAATCAGCTCATTAAGAGCCTTTCTGCGGGTTTTTCCTTTAATCTACAGCCTGACCTGTGTGCTAGAACCAAGCCTGAGCGGGTTCCTGCACACTGACACCCGTGCATGAAGTAAACGAAGCCACGACCCGGCAGCTCCCGAGCAGCCGGGAAGCCAGGCGGGCTGGATGACGGTCCGTTAGGAAGCGTAGCCCGAAGAAGAAGCCCATGGTTCACCACCCACCCCCTGCTGAGGACAGGACTCTGGTCATCGGCAGCTCCACAGTCAGAAACGTGAAGCTAGAGACACCAGCTACCATAGCCAAATGTATTCCTGAGGCCAGAGCAGGCGACACTGAATCATATTTAAAACTGCTGGCTGAGGATAAACGTAAATACAGTAGGTTTGTAATTCACACCGCCGGTAATGACACCTGGTTACGGCAGTCAGAGGTCACTAAAATTAACGTTGAGTTGGTGATTAAATTCACTAAAACTATGTGGGACTTCATAGTTTTTTCTGGACCCCTGCCCAGTTTGACCGGTGATGACATGTAGAGCCGCATGTCATCAGTCAACCTCTGGTGTCCAGAAAACAATGTGGGTTGAATAGATAAATGGAAAACTTTCTGGGGAAAACCCGGTCTCGTTAGGAGAGACGGCATACATCCCACTTTGGATGATGCAGCTCTCTTATCTAAGAATATGGAGAAGTTTATTAGAAAACCAAACCCCTGACAGTCCAGAGGTGAGACCAGGAAGCTTCTCTGCTGCTGCTCTATGGCCGTTACCCTCCCAGTGTCCTATAGAGACGACGTCTGCCCCCCGACCACCCAGGTTCTATCAGTGTAACATTAACAATACAAGGGCTGTTCATAGCAACCTTCTCCAAATTAAAACAACTCCACCACAATCAACAAACAGGACAATTAAATGTGGACTGTTAGATATTAGATCTCTGTCATCTCTTTTAGT